AGCCAATTTATATTGAAATGGGAGCCCTAGGGAGACCAGAAATTCAGACTAGACTTGCTTTATTTAGGGCTTTAGCACTGCAGAGAGGGCTTGGCACTAGGGAAATTAATGTGGTTCAGGGACTGTGAGACAGACTAGCGGGTTTCATGATGCGTGTTATAATTTGACAAAAAGACGCCAACCTAGTGGTTAAAGCGTTCGCTCGTCACGCCGAAGGCCCTGCTTCGATTCCCACATGGGCACAATGCTGGAATATTGACTTTTGAAATAACGTAGCTAGGTTACTGGTTAAAACGTTCGCATGTCACGAAGAAGACCCGGGTTCGATTCCCGACATGGATACAACGCGTGAAGCCTTAAAAGCGCTTTTTAACCTGAAGGCATACATGATGTAAAACTGATACTTTAGTTGTCAGTGATTACAAATCGAATGTTTTACACTTCTGCAATCCTTCCTTGCCGAGATCTCAAAGTATTTTTAAATTGGTAATCTGCCCAACGGGGGTATACAGAGAATCTCACCGAAGTGTCTACTGATATCAATTATATCAACACGGGTTGATAAAGTTACACATATAATTTTTACTTTTATCAACGAGTGTTGATATATTTGATATCAGAAGGCACGAGGGTGAGATTCTATTTATCATCAAAAATCACTCTTCATTAGTTTTCGATGAAAAATGTACATCTCTGAAAACGAGGTATGATAGCAACTCATTTTCAACTAAGCGCCCGCTATAAGCGCCACAACTCTCGCCGTATCACCTCACGTCTCGCGAGATCAGTTCGTTGAGGGAGAACTCATTACTCTGCTGCCAATTCTAAACTTTTCAATACAAGAAACATATTTAAACATAATATCTGTATTGTGCATGTATTTTGTGCAATCTATCACCTGTCACAAACCTTGTGTAGATCTAATGAAAAAAATATTTATAATCTCTCACAATGTTTTTCCCATTTTTTACAACTTGGGTCTGTCTCGCCATACCACGCATCTTATCTGCCTGTATATGGCAGCGCTCACTAAAATCATAACCGCACCAACACATAAACAAAAATTCAAAAATCTATTTATCATTCATATTTTAACGGCTACAAACCAGTGTATCATCACCATGAAAAAATCAGCATGTGTTAAGAAGGGGGTTGTAAAGGTATACTTATTATTCTGTCACACACTTCAGCATATTGTTACAGATAATGTATACCATATATTTACGGTGTTTTTTTACGGTTATTCAAACACGTATATTCGCGTGTATATACGTCTTTGGTCTAAACGTTCTTACGTTTCTAAACGTTTTTACGCCGACGTGTCCCACGAGTGTATATGAATCAGTCTAACGTTATGTAATTTCTTTGAACATAATCACTATTACTGCTTGCCCGATATAAATTTTACTGCACTCGGGTTTCGTATACTGGAAATAATTACCCACGGTCACACTAGCCTACTGTCAAGTGTACCACTATGACGTCGCCATTAATGAAAATATGATATAATGGGGTTTACCCTGCGCTCAATATAATAGCACTTATATGGCTACGTGAACAAGCGTATGTGTGTTGCTTCTTGTACCAGTCAATACTAATGTCTATTTTAGTGAAAGCCCACTCAGTAACCCCTAAAAACGAGCGCAAGGCAGGGTAACAACAAGTAACTTATGTCAACGTCATTTGGTATGACGCGGCCCCATACTGAACCCACTACCTCTACTACTATACCACGGATACGGCCTTTCCTTCCAAAAAGGGAAGAAAGACGCATGTAGCCATGTGAATAACGTTGTAAAGGAAATCTACATACATGCATTTCATGTATTAGTCCACACAGCCACCTTCAGTAAATATACACACAGTAATAGAAGTAATAAAAAGTAAACCTAGTTAGCTAAACAAACAATGAATTAGTTCCAAATTACATGTGTAACATGCGCAAAACAGCTGTTAATGTTATTTGTTACAACATTGTAACATATCAAATACACAATGTTTACCCTTGATTATTGTAGAGGTATAGTGCAACGACGTCACAGTGACCTGTATTTACTTTGATGTCATTTAGCCAATCAGCATGCATTTGAAACCACTGGTCGTGTCCTGCCTTTCTTTGTTTTACCTCCCTATTTCAAGAAGAGTGAGCGTGAACGTTTCCTTTCAAACATATTATGTATATTAAAACTCAGTTATGTACATAATTCTATTATCCCTTAAAATCACCGAAGATGCTGAGTAAATAGTGTAGCATTACAGTAAGGAAGCATTGTAGCCTTACAATAAGTACTGTAGCATAACAGTTAGTACTGTAGCATAACGGTTAGTACTGTAGCATAACAGTTAGTACTGTAGCATAACAGTTAGTACTGTAGCATAACAGTTAGTACTGTAGCATAACAGTTAGTACTGTAGCATAACGGTTAGTACTGTAGCATAACAGTTAGTACTGTAGCATAACAGTTAGTACTGTAGCATAACAGTTAGTACTGTAGCATAACAGTTAGTACTGTAGCATAACAGTTAGTACTGTAGCATAACAGTTAGTACTGTAGCATAACAGTTAGTACTGTAGCATAACAGTTAGTACTGTAGCATAATGGTTAGTACTGTAGCATTACAGTAAGGAAGGATTGTAGCCTTACAACAGTTAGTACTGTAGCATAACGGTTAGTACTGTATCATTACAGTAAGGAAGGATTGTAGCCTTACAACAGTTAGTACTGTAGCATAACGGTTAGTACTGTAGCATTACAGTAAGGAAGGATTGTAGCCTTACAATAAGTACTGTAGCATAACAGTTAGTACTGTAGCATAACAGTTAGTACTGTAGCATAACAGTTGGTACTGTAGCATAACGGTTAGTACTGTAGCATTACAGTAAGGAAGGATTGTAGCCTTACAACAGTTAGTACTGTAGCATAACAGTTAGTACTGTAGCATTACAGTAAGGAAGGATTGTAGCCTTACAATAAGTACTGTAGCATAACGGTTAGTACTGTAGCATAACAGTTGGTACTGTAGCATAACGGTTAGTACTGTAGCATTACAGTAAGGAAGGATTGTAGCCTTACAATAAGTACTGTAGCATAACAGTTAGTACTGTAGCATTACAGTAAGGAAGGATTGTAGCCTTACAATAAGTACTGTAGCATAACGGTTAGTACTGTATCATTACAGTAAGGAAGGATTGTAGCCTTACAATAAGTACTGTAGCATAACAGTTAGTACTGTAGCATAACAGTTAGTACTGTAGCATAACGGTTAGTACTGTAGCATTACAGTAAGGAAGGATTGTAGCCTTACAATAAGTACTGTAGCATAACAGTTAGTACTGTAGCATTACAGTAAGGAAGGATTGTAGCCTTACAATAAGTACTGTAGCATAACAGTTAGTACTGTAGCATTACAGTAAGGAAGGATTGTAGCCTTACAACAGTTAGTACTGTAGCATAACAGTTAGTACTGTAGCATAACAGTTGGTACTGTAGCATAACGGTTAGTACTGTAGCATTACAGTAAGGAAGGATTGTAGCCTTACAACAGTTAGTACTGTAGCATAACAGTTAGTACTGTAGCATTACAGTAAGGAAGGATTGTAGCCTTACAACAGTTAGTACTGTAGCATAATAGTTAGTACTGTAGCATTATAGAATAATAAGGCTTGGTGCAACTCCAATAGAATCAAAGGAATGTCTATGCGGAACATTTGCTCACGGCATTATGAAACATGTTTTTATGTCATGCCAGCATAACTTAGTAGAAAGGAATTCTCTATTTGAAAGAATCTGTGATACTCTTGACATAGACATTTTTGTTAAAATGTGGATGGAACACGATGATGTATTCGTGTCATTCCTCCTCGGAGGTATACCTGACCACTGTAAGGATGTACTGGATTATAATGTTTGGTCAGAACTGGTGGTAATGATTAGTCTCTCTGTTCGCAGTTGGGAGAGCATACTCCGGCAATGCTCATAGATACCTTCAGTTCTTTCACAATTGAATATTACTGTATAATATAAGTACTAATAATTAGAAAGTTTTATGTACTGTTGTTTACCATACAAATGTAATCTTGTAATTTTATGGAGGAAATAAAGAATATCTATCTATCTAACAGTTAGTACTGTAGCATAACAGTTAGTACTGTAGCATTACAGTAAGGGTTGTAGCATTACATTAAGGGCTGCACATAGCATTACAGTAAGGAAGCACCGTAGCAGTACAGGAAGCACCGTACCATTACAGTAAGCGCCGTAGCATTACAGTAAGCACCGTAGATGGTACAGTACGCACCGTAGCATTACAGTAAGCACTGTAGCATTACAGTAAGCACCGTAGCATTACAGTAAGCACCGCAGTATTACAGTAAGCACCCTAGATGGTACAGTACGCACCGTAGCGGTACAGTAAGCACCGTAGCGGTACAGTAAGCACCGTAGCATTACAGTAAGCACTGTAGCAATACAGTAAGCACCCTAGATGGTACAGTACGCACTGTAGCATTACAGTAAGCACTGTAGCACTACAGTAAGCACTGTAGCAATACAGTAAGCACCCTAGATGGTACAGTACGCACCGTAGCATTACAGTAAGCACTGTAGCATTACAGTAAGCACCGTAGCATTACAGTAAGCACCGTAGCATTACAGTAAGCACGGTAGCGGTACAGTAAGCACTGTAGCATTACATTAAGCACTGTAGCATTACATTAAGCACTGTAGCATTACAGTAAGCACTGTAGCATTACAGTAAGCACCGTAGCATTACAGTAAGCACTGTAGCATTACAGTAAGCACTGTAGCATTACAGTAAGCACTGTAGCATTACATTAAGCACTGTAGCATTACATTAAGCACTGTAGCATTACATTAAGCACTGTAGCATTACAGTAAGCACTGTAGCATTACAGTAAGCACTGTAGCATTACAGCACTACAGTAAGCACTGTAGCATTACATTAAGCACAGCATTAAGCACTGTAGCATTACAGTAAGCACTGTAGCATTACAGTAAGCACTGTAGCATTACATTAAGCACTGTAGCATTACAGTAAGCACTGTAGCATTACAGTAAGCACTGTAGCATTACATTAAGCACTGTAGCATTACAGTAAGCACTGTAGCATTACAGTAAGCACTGTAGCATTACATTAAGCACTGTAGCATTACAGTAAGCACTGTAGCATTGCAGTAAGCACTGTAGCATTGCAGTAAGCACCATAGCATTACAGTAAGCATCCTAGATGGCACAGTAAGCACCGTAGCATTACAGTAAGCACCGTAGATGGAACAGTACGCACCGCAGCATTACAGTAAGCACTGTAGCATTGCAGTAAGCACTGTGGCATTACAGTAAGTACCGTAGCGTTACAGTATTGTTACATCAAGGGCTGGGCGGGAGGGCACACAGCTATACAAACTTGTCAAACCCGTATATATATTTTAGTTTTATTTAGTTAGTATTGTAATACTCTTTCCAGTATCATAATAGTTCGTTTCATGTGTTGATATAGAACAATCCAGTCCCTGAATACAAACGAAAACGGGCGAATGCCAGGAAAAGAATGGGGAGATTGAGGCAAAGGGTATGTTTTTTAACTTTAAGACACTGTCTACGTATATTTATGTTGTGCTAATCACTAAGTTTGTGTTCGTATTCGTTCATGCCCTTCGTTCATGCCCTATAAAGTTTACATTTTATAAGCTTCCCTAGAGAATACATATTTTTCTATATGAAATAAATACAATATATTCAAATTCTTTATCATTGTTGTTTTACTTGCCTTACTTTACATTAAGGTGCGGAATTTTGGTAAAATTCAAGGGATGCCACAAATGGCCCTTGTGCACCTCACAACCGAGGGAACATTGAAGGTTGTTGGTATGCTTTTTTTACATTTCATCTGAAATCATATCCAGATTGTTAATGTCGAATAGCCTGACATGCCGTCTTGGGTGTACACAAATAGAGCTCTCGTCAATGCTGAACTTCTTAATTACTGATATAGTATTTAAAAACAAAGTATATGTGCTAATATAAAAAAACCGTTTCGCTCAATTGAAATAACATTTCGTTCCCATATTGTAATATATATTATACATAAGTAAGTGGACTATCTATTGAAAAAACTCGCGTCTCATCGCTTTACCATAAAATACAATCACTTAAAGCTTTTTAATGCCTTTTAACTTAATTATATTAAAACAGGACACCAAGATATGGTTGAGGCTGTTGGCCGCAGCAACCTGGTTAACATACTGAATATTGCACCGGTAGCGCCCGCTACCACTCAGGAAGGTACGTGCTCTCACTCCTCATACTTTACTTACAGTAAGAGCATAACATATATCATGTTAAATACCACCTTATTTAATTTGAAATATTTTTAGAGGAAAAAGTCGACCTTCGACGTATATCCATGGCGGTGGACTACGCCGACGTCCGGGACGTCCACCTATTAAGACGAGCGGTCACTCAGGTCACAATTGACAAAGGTAAAGTCTGTGCGTTTTGGGTGCGTGCGTGCATGCTTGTGTATCGTCACACATAAGAAAACATTATTCAGTATTATATATACCATATCATTCGAATTACCTGCGATGTAACATATATGATATAATCTATCCTGTTGTTCCCAGGTGCCAAGGGATCCCGATGTATTTGGGGAAACGAAGGCCTTCGGCCTTCTTGGTGGCCTGAGGGTGTGCCGTTTGTGGCGCCCTCAGCAACACACACGGACGATGGTATGCTTTTCACACAAATCTCCTTATCTCAAACTTTTACTCAGGAATGGAAATTATGTAAAGTCCACTTCTTTCCCAGAATGAAAATCGATGTTAATTAAGGTCATGTACTAATAATCTCAAGTACATGACCTTTTAATGGAAAACAACTTCTGCATAACAGCCACCTAATCACGTACCCAGAAGTAGCACTGGTACGTCCTTACCAGCAATAGACAGTTGTCTCCATGTCCTTCCAACGCATACCACATGCCTCGCAAAGAATCAATAAGTACTTTTTTCCAACTGTATCCTTAAGAATTCATATGGAAATAAATATAGCAATGAGCAATGATATATTTAGTTAATGTTCTTCTCAACACGGTCCTCGCTGTAGTCCGCACACAGTATATAGTGCTACTGAGAAACATGTTATTGCTTTCATGTGGATGCTTCGTGTAGAAGTCGTCAATAAGGGGCATTAACACGATTGTTGAAGAAGGGGGGTTCAATGCAACCTGTATCATATGTATTATTTATTCAAAAAATAATAAAAGTGTTTTTGTAATTATATTGTGTCATTCTAAAAGTTGTTTTCAGTGATTAAGTTGTAAATAATATTCATGCTCATGCATATTGGTTACACTTTACAATTATAGAAACAAATAAGGTGTTAATAATCACAATAATCTTCGATCTCAGCTGGCACTAAACATCGGCTGCAGACGGCATCCAACCTCAGACATATCATGTGCAGCTGGAAACGCCACGTGATATCGGTAATATACATGATATATTATATTCTTTTTCTGAAAACCATAAATTAAAGTATATTTTAAATTATCTCTCTAGCCGAGTTATAGTTCAGGAGCCTGTCTTAAGGGTTCTCCCTCACGGGCCTTGTTTTGAGTAACTTTCATTGTTGACAAATTACGAACGGAAATTGATTCTATTTATTCCTTTTTCAGAAACTTAATTCTAGCGGTTATGTCAATTCGGCCGATAGCCATGAAGTGGTATTATCTCTGTATTTGCGTTGTTTGTTGAAGTTTCTATTTAATGGTTCCTTTTCCTTTCAGTTTTCACAATACTAACCAACATATCTCTAGAGCACTGTCTTGATATAGACGTGACTCACCTACACCATCACTCCAGCGTGCAATGTACACAATACTCCATTAACTGTAGGTAACTTTTACATTGTGCAGGTAATCCGCCCAATATCAATCTGGCAACTTTGCTAATTTCCAAAGTTCTTACCCCGAAACTCTCGATCAGATTTCCACAGTTCTTAATTGTTCTTAATTGTTCTTAATTGAGCAAAACATATTAGGTTTTTTTAGTTTATATACTTTGAATGTACATCAAACATAATCATTTTTGTATGTTTTGTTAGATAAGAAAACAATGCAAACAATGACATTAAAATATATTATGGAATATTAGGGTTATAGTTTGTGTCTTTCCTTGGTGTTCTCACTATGCGCAGCTAACAAGAGCATCTGTACTTCAATAGACTGACTGACTGAGTTTAGTTTTACGCCGCTTTTAGCAATATTCCAGCAATATCACGGCGGGGGACACCAGAAATGGGCTTAACACATTGTGCCCATGTGGGGAATCGAACCCGGGTCTTCGCAATGACTAGTCAACGCTTTAACCACTAGGCTACCCCATCGCCCGGTTCAATAGAACATGTCATATCATATATTGAATAGCTGGTAGCTACTCATCAGAGTTGCCAATGTCTACAATTATGTTTCTTATTTTATAGTTTATACACTAACTTCGTTATGTAATGAATCAATAATTTTTGAATGATATAAAGTTAATTGTAATAATTTCAACATTTAATTGAATTGTTTACCACTAAGTGCATTTCGGCACCCATATTCAAAGTAAATTATCCTCACATTACATATTTTTTTGTCTTATAGCTTTGTGTCTAATGGCTATATTTATATTTTAGCTTGAACAGATAATCAACAAGAACCTAGTAAGTAAAATCATTCATAACAACAAAGCATTAAAGCATATATTCATTGTGCGTCAGAAAGGTAACAGGTCAATAAAACAATCTGCCATGTAATAAACATCACATACATCCATGTTGCATCTGGAATTCTGCTGATTTTTTTTGTATTTGTACCACATATTAAATGCCTGCTTCAATTACAATGCAAGTAATAAACACACAGGATCAATGCCATGTGGCCTTCACAAATCTCATTTACCCGTTTACTGCTTGTTGATGAACTTATGGCGCTTACAGGTGTAGTGAGCACGTTTCCTTACCTAAACAGTGAGATGTTTCTGATAAATACACAGTACCAATGGAAAGTGGCGCTTACAGCTGTAGAGTGTCCGTTTTCTGATTTATAAGCGCCACACAGGTGCACTGTTTGCCAAAAGTGAGATGTTTATAATAAATACACTTCATGTATCACATGTGGCGCTAACAGCTGTAGAGTGTCCGTTTTCTGACTTATAAGCGCCACACAGGTGCACTGTTTGCCAAAAGTGAGATGGTTCTGATAAATACACTTCATCAATCACATGTGGCGCTTACAGCTGTAGAGTGCCCGTTTTCTGACTTAAGCGCCACACAGGCACACTGTTTGCCAAAAGTGAGATGGTTCTGATAAAAACACTTCATCAATCACATGTGGCGCTTACAGCTGTAGAGTGCCCGTTTTCTGACTTAAGCGCCATAAACGTATACAGCATGGTAACAGGCGCCCAGAGTAACTATACAAGATCAGTGACCTGTAGCAAGTCCTTCTTGAACTAGTTTCAACTCGTGTCGTATATGAAACTTAACGAATACCATCTAACATGCTACCAGGAACCTCTCAATGACACACCCTTGTTTTCCCACTCGTAGCCACCAGCCGAAAGTATAAGCCAGGAATCCAACGAGAAATGCTGCGGCTTGGAGAGCGCCATGAGAAAGGTAGATTTAGACAGGAACATTTGCTTAAACCTACCCCGTCATTATCCTCCAACCTACTCACATAGAAGGGATGCGTCCCAAAAGGTTTAGACACTTTGTAAATGCAGGCACGTGGTGCTTACAACTGTAGAGTTCCCGTTTTCTGACTTAAGCGCCTCACATGTACACTGTTTGCCAAAAGTGAGATGGTTCTGATAAATACACTTCATCAATCACAGGGGCGGTGGGGTAGTCTAGTGGTTAAAGCGTTGGCTCGTCATGCCGAAGACCCGGGTTCGAATCCCCACATGGGTACAATGAGTGAGGCCCATTTCTGGTGTCCCCCGCCGTGATATTGCTGGAATATTGCTAAAAGCGGCGTAAAACCAAACTCAGTCAGTCAGTCATCAATCACATATGGCGTTTACAGCTGTAGAGTGCCCGTTTTCTGACTTAAGCGCCTCACAGGTACACTGTTTGCCAAAAGTGAGATGGTTCTCATGAATACACTTCATCAATCACATGTGGCGCTTACAGCTGTAGAGTGCCCGTTTTCTGACTTAAGCGCCACACAGGTACACTGTTTGCCAAAAGTGAGATGGTTCTCATGAATACACTTCATCAATCACATGTGGCGCTTACAGCTGTAGAGTGCCCGTTTTCTGACTTAAGCGCCACACAGGTACACTGTTTGCCAAAAGTGAGATGGTTCTGATAAATACACTTCATCAATCACATGTGGCGCTTACAGCTGTAGAGTGCCCGTTTTCTGACTTAAGCGCCACACAGGCACACTGTTTGCCAAAAGTGAGATGGTTCTGATAAAAACACTTCATCAATCACATGTGGCGCTTACAGCTGTAGAGTGCCCGTTTTCTGACTTAAGCGCCATAAACGTATACAGCATGGTAACAGGCGCCCAGAGTAACTATACAAGATCAGTGACCTGTAGCAAGTCCTTCTTGAACTAGTTTCAACTCGTGTCGTATATGAAACTTAACGAATACCATCTAACATGCTACCAGGAACCTCTCAATGACACACCCTTGTTTTCCCACTCGTAGCCACCAGCCGAAAGTATAAGCCAGGAATCCAACGAGAAATGCTGCGGCTTGGAGAGCGCCATGAGAAAGGTAGATTTAGACAGGAACATTTGCTTAAACCTACCCTGTCATTATCCTCCAACTTACTCACATAGAAGGGATGCGTCCCAAAAGGTTTAGACACTTTGTAAATGCAGGCACGTGGCGCTTACAACTGTAGAGTGCCCGTTTTCTGACTTAAGCGCCTCACATGTACACTGTTTGCCAAAAGTGAGATGGTTCTGATAAATACACTTCATCAATCACAGGGGCGGTGGGGTAGTCTAGTGGTTAAAGCGTTGGCTCGTCACGCCGAAGACCCTGGTTCGAATCCCCACATGGGTACAATGAGTGAGGCCCATTTCTGGTGTTCCCCGCCGTGATATTGCTGGAATATTGCTAAAAGCGGCGTAAAACCAAACTCAGTCAGTCAGTCATCAATCACATATGGCGTTTACAGCTGTAGAGTGCCCGTTTTCTGACTTAAGCGCCACACAGGTACACTGTTTGCCAAAAGTGAGATGGTTCTGATAAATACACTTCACCAATCACATGTGGCGCTTACAACTGTAGAGTGCCCGTTTTCTGACTTAAGCGCCTCACAGGTACACTGTTTGCCAAAAGTGAGATGGTTCTGATAAATACACTTCATCAATCACATGTGGCGCTTACAGCTGTAGAGTGCCCGTTTTCTGACTTAAGCGCCTCACAGGTACACTGTTTGCCAAAAGTGAGATGGTTCTGATAAAAACACTTCATCAATCACATGTGGCGCTTACAACTGTAGAGAGCCCGTTTTCTGACTTAAGCGCCACACAGGTACACTGTTTGCCAAAAGTGAGGTTGTTCTGATAAATACACTTCATCAATTACATGTGGCGCTTACAGCTGTCGAGTGCCCGTTTTCTGACTTAAGCGCCACACAGGTACACTGTTTGCCAAAAGTGAGATGGTTCTGATAAATACACTTCATCAATCACATGTGGCGCTTACAGCTGTAGAGTGCCCGTTTTCTGACTTAAGCGCCTCACAGGTACACTGTTTGCCAAAAGTGAGATGGTTCTGATAAAAACACTTCATCAATCACATGTGGCGCTTACAGCTGTAGAGTGCCCGTTTTCTGACTTAAGCGCCACACAGGTACACTGTTTGCCAAAAGTGAGGTTGTTCTGATAAATACACTTCATCAATCACATGTGGCGCTTACAGCTGTAGAGTGCCCGTTTTCTGACTTAAGCGCCACACAGGTACACTGTTTGCCAAAAGTGAGATGTTTATAATAAATACACTTCACGAATCACATGTGGCGCTTACAGCTGTAGAGCGCCCGTTTTCTGACTTAAGCGCCTCACAGGTACACTGTTTGCCAAAAGTGAGGTTGTTCTGATAAATACACTTCATCAATTACATGTGGCGCTTACAGCTGTCGAGTGCCCGTTTTCTGACTTAAGCGCCACACAGGTACACTGTTTGCCAAAAGTGCAGTTCTGATAAATACACTTCATGAATCACATGTGGTGCTTACAACTGTAGAGTGCCCCTTTTTATAGCTTAAGCGCATCACAGGTACACTGTTTGCCAAAAGTGAGGTGGCTCTAACAGAGAACAAAATTCGAGTAAACGCGTTTTAAGAGTCATATTTTTGAAACCTTAGAGCCATATGAAATAGTCTAGAGATTAAACAATCATTTGTATTTTATTCGCCTACAGAATGATCCAAGTGGTGCCATCTCTACAATAGCGGATGGACTCTATTGTATGAAACATTTGGAGGAAATCGAAGAGGGCGGCATCTTTAAATTCCGATTTGCGCCAAATTGTGTGCCCAACACGAGAAGGTATGGTGATAGTAAAGCGAGTTGGTATTCGTATATACTCTTGCATTGTTTCAACTGAATATAACGGTTATTTTTTACATAATTAGGTGTGTGCGCAGCATACGGCCTACAATGACATCCAATCATGCAACATGGTCACACGTGTGAACTGATCTGTATCCACTCTCTAAGGACATGGTTGTGCCGTAAAGTCGAACATTATCACTATAACTATACTGTTTAGACATCTCTTAGTATTAGGACAAAAATGAATCAAGTCACTATATTTTCCTACAGGCAATTTGTCGAGGTACCCTCTTCAAAGGTGGCATGTGGGGAGGGGAGCTCACTTTGGGAAGTATTCGGAGGATTCCCCGATGTTCTTGTTCTGGCCACCTTCGCACATGGCTTTGTGCACAAGGAGCATTACGCTCAACAGGTGAGTATTTACCAAAAGCCAAAAGTCCTTTGTAAATGAGACATTCTAAATATCAACAGCTCACTTTTTGCGTAATATTGATACCATTCGCCGCTCGGTAATTCGTGCTTTTTATGTCGTTAGTTGAACTTATTCACGAAGGAATAAGCACAAGATGTAAATTTTGCCGAAGCACATGTTTTTGGCCGAAATATTTGTACACACATTGACGTACATGTCCAATATATTATCAGTTCATCAAGTTGGGCGAAACAGCCGAATCGTTGGGCGAGCGTTTCGGCATCCGTGCCTCCACTGAACAGTCGGTGGAGGATGTGATAGCAGCAGCAACGGAAAGGATCCTAGCTGGTCCCAGCATGCCCAGTGAGTATTTAAACAATTATGTTTAGTTTTCCATTATGTTGATGACATCTGTGTATATATTTTCTAGGTCTCACTGGTACCTACTTGCAGTGGCACGAGAGAATGCATGGTTTGCTACAAGTAGTACCAATGCCATTTGTGTATATATTTTACTGGCAGTGGCACCAGAGAATGCATGGGTTACTACGAGTAGTACCAATGCCATCTGTGTCTAATTTTCTAGGACTCACTGGTACCTACTTGCAGTGGCACCAGAGAATGCATGGGTTACTACAAGAAGTACCAATGTTGATAACTAATGCATATAAATTAAACTTTATATTGCTGTTCAATTAATCTTTTCAATAAATGTCCCATGTTGTTGTTATATATGAATGATTAACTGAAGTTGACTCAATTTCATAAGCGTATTAGTATAAAATATTAGGAGCTATTCGTAACTTTGTTTCCTTTCATCTGTGTATCTGTAATGAACAATGGTTAGGGTGACTTTGCAGTGTACGGACCTATCTGAAAGCGTTCAAAGTTTTATGAACTTTCCCCAGTCTTGGTGTTGGATTACTTCTAAGCGGGGCGTTATAAAGCTTAAACAACCACTCACTGAACTAACTTCTGCAATCCAGACATCGGAACCATTATGCTCATTGCTGGGGCTCTAAAGAGGGAGGTGATCGTGCACCTGGAGGATAGAAAAATTTCAGCACCACCGTGCACATGTTTGGACTTCTTTGACGGAAAGGAGGTGCATGTGTACGTGGACAGAGGCGGAAGGGCATACCATCTGACGACAAAAACTGGTGATGGTATAGAAACAAAACTGTAGTCTTGGAAATTTAAATACTTGCAATGTTTGTTTGCTTGACATTTAATGCCGCACTGAGCAATATGTCAGTTTTAAGATGGTGGTATGTAAATAATCGAGTCTGGACAAGACAATCATCACTGTTTATGCTACTCGCCTATTAGAATTATGTATTCATAATTATGTTGCATGAAGATCCTTTCAGCAGATAACGTTGTTGAAATTGAAAGGGTTTTGTAACTTTTAGTTAAGGTTTATGCAGCGATATATGAAACAAGAGATTCCAGCTGTATACCTTACTCACTGTACAATGGCGTCTCTTGTTGCAGAAAAGACCAACATCATGAAGGAGGCGAACAGGTATGTACTAGGTAGTTATTAACATGTCAATCAAGAGTAATAATGACTAGATGTAACTAAACATACAAAAGTAAAGAGAAATTTTCATGATTAGTTTATTCCGTGACCAGTTTATAACCAGCATGATAACCTTGACTTTATTCCTGCTGCAGATTTGAAACAGAAGATCCTGACAGAAGGTGGGCAAATTTCGAAAACACATAAACTGCCACTGCATACGGCCTGACCTAATTCATATAATGCTTAACAGACAAATATAACATTTTAGAAGAATGAAAGAACTTACATCTCAAAGTCTTTGATAATTGTTCCAAAGTTCCAAATCCTGCTTTTGTCGAGACGATTCCGGCCATAAAGAAAATCCTCTAAATAAATGTTAAAGAGAAAACTTGACCCAAGGAGGAAGGCTTCAGGGACAATAAATATATGCAACTATCTTTTTCAGAGTCATACTATATAAGAGACTTTTCGTAACAGCAACAGAACTCCGAGCTGTTTTGGCTAATGAATGGCTTGACGACCATGTCGTCGACACATGTCTTTGGTAACTATCTGCTTTGTTAAAAGAGAAAATATATTGGAAATATACCAGCATAAAGATTAACTTTCAGTACAAGTTAGCAAACACTTACAAAACATAAGAGATCCCTTTACTCAAAACCGACCAAAACATTGCATATCATTGTGCAATTCTATTCCAAAGTTCACTTAGGTATCGTTCTGGTGTATTAAGTCTTGGAGGTTGTCATTTATGAAAATATAATTTAAAACAAACGTTGTTCGACCTTGCCAACTCTTTGAATAGTTCATCTTTGATAAAAGCAAAACATTACAAGCTCTTCAGAAAGATCAACAATTTATCAATATTTTATTGTACATTTAGCATCTTCAAAGACGAAAAAGACGCCCAGACGGTGGTCATGCTGGCAACCACGGGGATTCTGCTCCAAGCTAAAACACCACAGTACCAGTCAGTATTTGTTTCGCGAACATCTTGTGTCATCACTAATTTACAGTGATCTTTTACTACCATGTATATATTGTTTGTTGCTATTTTGAGTACGCCCAAGGAAGTTTGGCAGATAAGCAAACTCATTATTCTTTAGCGTTGACTATCGTGTATGATCGTAACTAGGTCGATGTTACCCAAAGTTCACTCATGAACTACAAACTAAATGTTTGGGCCGAGACATTAAGACCCCCATCCCCATCGTTGGCAAATAACCACAACGCATTGTGTCACTGGGCTATTGTGTACATGGATTACATGATCCTTCACGTGAAGATCCTGTCAACACTCCATTGTTTACAGGTCACATCACATGGCAGCACGTGTGTGTCCTATACAAAAACATTTGTTTTTCATATTCAAATTGTGAGTGGCACATGCTAACGGCAGGTCCTTAGATAGAGTCAATTATGTCCATAATTTTCACATAATCAAGACTAGATATTCTCTGACTTTTGATGTTTCACATTTATGATAAAATAGAAAACTGGTTTATGTTAACTTAGAACTTATGTTTTCCAATCTGATATATCTTCTTACTACCTATAACATTTACATCTGAGATTCCCTATTGTACATATGAGCATGACCAATTTCTTTTCTTCTCTTCCTAGGAAATTGAAGAAAATGACATCCTTCCTGGGGAACATGATTGTTCCCATATGCACAGGGTAATCATATGTACCGTATTATTTGTCTTTCATATTCAATTACTGGGAGTGAAAATTACCTAAACAATAATATGTTATTATCACTACCTGTGTGCAGGAATTACTACAGTTAGTACCATTGGCAACTGTGGCTCGTTTTTCTAGGACTCACTGGTACCTACTTTCAGTGGCACCAGAGAATTTCAGTGGCACCAGAGAATGCAGACCTACAAGTAGTATGCATCTGGTATATATTTTACTGGCAGTGGCACCAGAGAATGCATGGGTTACTACAAGTAGTATCAATGCCATCTGAGTATATATTTTACTGGCAGTGGCACCAGAGAATGCATGGGTTACTACAAGTAGTATCAATGCCATCTGAGTATATATTTTACTTGCAGTGGCACCAGAGAATGCATGGGTTACTACAAGTAGTATCAATGCCATCTGAGTATATATTTTACTGGCAGTGGCACCAGAGAATGCATGGGTTACTACAAGTAGTATCAATGCCATCTGAGTATATATTTTACTTGCAGTGGCACCAGAGAATGCATGGGTTACTACAAGTAGTATCAATGCCATCTGAGTATATATTTTACTGGCAGTGGCACCAGAGAATGCATGGGTTACTACAAGTAGTATCAATGCCATCTGAGTATATATTTTACTGGCAGTGGCACCAGAGAATGCATGGGTTACACAAGTAGTATCAATGCCATCTGAGTATATATTTTACTGGCAGTGGCACCAGAGAATGCATGGGTTACTACAAGTAGTATCAATGCCATCTGAGTATATATTTTACTGGCAGTGGCACCAGAGAATGCATGGGTTACTACAAGTAGTACCAATGCCATCTGTGTATATATTTTACTGGCAGTGGCACCAGAGAATGCATGGGTTACTACAAGTAGTACCAATGCCATCTGTGTATCTATTTTCTAGGACTCACTGGTACCTTCTTGCAGTGGGACCAGAGCATGCCTGGGTTCTCTGTTCCATGGGAGGGCGGTACCGGGTGCTAGAGAGGAACATAAAACGGTAACACTCTGCAACATGTAATCTGTTTAATATTTAGCTTCACTTAATGTGTGACAATACATTTATTTATATGTTATTAAGATTACCAAGATTAAACATATCATATATCTATAGCATGTCAGCACTATTCCAGCTATGCAGTTGTGATCAAGTGTTGGTCAGCATGCAAAACCACTAAAACCATGTGCAATAATCCATGTCATCTTTTCGGTTACATGCAACTGGCCAAGCGCCTGACCAATCGATTCTCCACAGTGGTTGGGTTCTTACACCAACAGATAAAGGAAGTAAATGTTAAGACATTTCTGCTCTCATTTCCACATTCATTTCATACACATGAGTATATAAACAATATCAGGAAAATATTCTTTACGAACCTATCAAACGAATGAAGATATCATAATTTCATTGCAGACTACTAGGAAAGACATGTATCTACCCTAAGGTAAAGTTGAAGCTTCAATTCAATGTATTCATCAATTTTACAAAAAGCATATATATACACACCCGAGCATTAATTAAGCACCATATGACATGATGTTGCAGAAAAGTTAGGGTGTAGCCATCAATTTGATCAACCTACAGTTAAAGAAGCTTTATCCATTAACAGGTTTACAAATACCACACATGAAATAATTATTACATTCACTTTTCAAAATAAGGTAACTTGTTTTAGGACGGGAAAACACACGTTTCTGATATAGACAGTTATCCTAATTAAAGTACTACGTAAATTCAATCATGTTTTCGTTTTTAAAATATTATATGCTTGCTCTGCCAAATTATAAATATTATTTTTCGGAAAGTGTGTAGATTTTCATTTCATACAAAATTAACTGGCAAAAATACAGGGTGGTGCTTACTTTCTGCACGGATGTATATCATTAATAATCCAACAGTTTTAACAACAAATTAGAAAGCAATCACATTTAAGATATTTGATGAAATGTATTAATACTTCATTCTCAAAAACGTCTTAAAAAACATGCTGGTGTTTAAAGGTAAATTATCATATCAATAACAATTATAATTTCTAGGTTCCTAAACAGACAAATGGCCGAGACTGTGGCGTGTTCACAGTGATGTATGGTGTGGGTCTACTGAAGGTACACCATCATGTCTGATATTATTAAACAGCAATTTCTCTGAAATAAATCAGTGAGATGAGTCAGTAGTCAAAATAATGTAATTGTTTTTCTTAGTCAGTAAAGGACATTTTACGTTAATCTATTTGAGTAAAATGTGACTATTCTTACATTTACGATTTTTTGGGTTTAATTTGATATGTTAAATGCAGAGTACACCCTCATCCAACACAAAACATTTTCTTGTACAAATTTACAAATTACTAATGAAACTGTTTTGTGCCTTTTAAGGAAAGCAATTGGAGCCAAATACAGTGGCCAACCCTCGTGTCTTGTGACATAGAAGACACGGGGAGACAGCTCATACACGACACGTTAATGAAATGGCGCTGTTGAATACAAACGTGAGTATGCCAGAAAAGGAAAACAATTTATACATATATAACAATGTACAGTGATGGTCCTGTTTGAACAATATTTCAAAATGAAAGTTCTTATTTATAGCGTTGAATACACTTTTGATAGAATTTGGAAGAGGGCAGTATACTGTTTTAGTTTGTTTTCTTGCTTTGCTGCCATTGAGACCATGCTTCGAAACCAAACATAAAATTTACAATGTGACATAAAATGGTCTACATTCATGTATGAAAGCATAGTTCTTAATTTATTCAGTGTAGCATTCCGTTGTTCAGCTACTTGAGTATTCAGGCTTCGGTATTTATTGTACTTTGATAGATTGTATCCATCATGACAACCTGCAAACAAAAAGTAGGTCAATGAATGACTTCAGAATTTTATTATCATAAGAGGTATGTAGCCAGAGACTTATGATGGTTACCAAACCAAAATATGTGAAGTATTGACAATTATGGTACTGTCACAGAACAATGCTGTGCATTCAGACAAGTATTAGGTTACAGGTATACTACCACCAAATGGTTATATTACCAAACATATTGCTGATGAAATAAATAAATTACTGACAAAAGCATGTATGTAAAAAACAATGACATACACACAACATTACTGATTCATGAAAAAGTGCTTTTTAAAGGTATTGGTAAACATTTAATGATTCAAAAGACTAAAACCCTTCATTTGAACTTCTTGTATACTGAAAATTAAAACACAGACAAAGGTACCAGTTCAATGCTTGCCTGATGTTTCAAAGCTTGTGTATACTGCTATTAATATTATGATGCATTACTGTCATGATTTATAATAAATCATAATGAAAACTGACTTTAAAAAAAGAATGGTTACCTTTGTGATTTGGCCAGTGGAATCGGTCAACAACAAACCAGGTGTTTTTGAAAAAAACCTGGATCTCGGTTCATACAATATGCATGCAGGTTACATGCATTGTCATAAATGACCATCTTGGGAGCTGTGAATATAGATATGCTGTTGAAATGTTTTGGTCATTATAGGCATTAAGAAGTTGCGTATTTAAGTAATATCTTTTGTATAAACTCATCTGTTGTCTACACACAGGCGAGGGCTACACCTCACCTTCTCAAACTACATGCAAACTTTGGGCAGGGTGTGTGTACATATACAAGTTTTATTGTCATAGCTAACAGCAAAGTCGTGATTCAATTTAGTTAAGAATTCTGAGAGCAACATTCAAATAACACATACTCTGATCACAAACATCATTTTCTGCATGATAAAACTAGTGGTTTCAGCCATACCAGGGTAGAGAATATATACATGCTGAAAAACAATTGAGTGAACTTTATTTACCCAAGGCTGTAATTATCAATACATGTACAAGACAAGCATGCAATGGCATGAGCTCTCTAGAAACTGAAAGAAGGATATCAACTCACCTTTCTTGAACCGTGTACGGAGAAGGGTGAATGGAACATTTGGGGACTCAGCATCCTGCATCATGCTAAATCCATAGCACACACCTACAAAAGATGTTTTTGTGATTGGATTCTAAGCATTCACCCCAGATTATAACCCTGCATGTTAATCCCATAATTGTGTTATTGGTTTATTAGTTATGGACTAGAAAAACATTGGAATGTTTGTCATTTTTATTACCTTGGGTGACCTTGATATTAATAGAATGTCTTTTGAATGAAATCACCGCAATTAGTATAATGTATTGCAAGTATGATAAAAAATATTCAAGTTTGTATTGAGTTCTATTGCATAAAACTTTATGATGAACTATTTGATGAGACATAAGGCCAAACAACATTCACCATGTTGACAGGATAAAGTGAACAATCCTGGGGTGAGTGAAGGATGACTGCCAGGACTTTTCCTGCAGGGTCCCCTTTGGTTCTTGTCATCCAAAACATATGAGCCTCTCCGGTTGCAGACATTCAGTGATGGAAAGTACTGGGTCCTCATGTCTGGATGTGCTTCTGATTCAGAAATCTATGAAATAATATAAATTACTTTATAAGGTGAAAGTAAAAATCCATTTAGTTATATTTCATGACAAAATATAATGAAAAGTTTATGTATTTCTGGGCTACACAAATTCAAAATTTAATACTAAATGATTCATTAATCAGAAATTCTTGTATCATGGATATGGAAAAGGAATTTCAGGTGCAGATTACTTTCGACGTACTCCATAAAATAACACCTATCAACAAGTAACAACCATTTAACAATTCAAGATGAAGACTGAAATTGCTGTACATGCCTCTAAATCATGTTCATCGACATTCAAAAACTGACCCACATTTTCTACAAAAGCAAGCAACAGGGGACGAACATAAGCAGGAGTTTCTGAAAAATGAGACAGCAGTGAAAAGAGTGTTGGGACTTTATCTTCCAAAATGGCCATGTAAGAGATGTTATGTCTAAAATTTGCCCCTTTAGACTCATCCATGAGAATATCCAAAACAATTTCATCTTCAATATGAATTAAAGCCAACAAAGGATAATCCGAGCTCAAGGTACAAATGATAGAACTGAAGATTTTGGGGCACTTTCCATAATGAAAATTTGAACCAATTTCTGAAAACAAAGGCTCCAAAAAAGGGTGCATATGTGGTCAGCAGCGTCTGAAGCTCCGCCATTTCCTGTTGGGTGAGGATGCGGATTGTAAACTGCCTCAACAGCTTTCTACATCTCTGATTCTTGATAAAGACCCTAGAGCTGAAAGTAGTATAAACACAATTTGCACATAAAGCATTTGTCACAAAAGTAAGTGTTCAAAGTTGGGATCAGCATTGTGACATATAAGCAATGATGTGTGACGTATAATAGCACCTCAGGTTTGGCTGCATCTATGTGAGAATCAACTTGTGTTTAACATCCTGACCATGCTTGATGTGCACTTGGTGACAAGAATTGTAGATATATAGTACTCAATACCATTGCATAGAGTTTTGTTGTGTCATTGTTTCCACCCATGTGCAGTGATCCTGGCATGACTATATAAATAATATAATTCTAGATATAAATGCATATCTATATTAAATCTGTGGATACTTTGTCAACACTAATAATGAAACTGTTGTGTTACTTATCTTCCATCCAGGTTCTGTGGTTCTTCTTGTGGCATCTTCCAGTCCATGTGGGTGTTTTTGATCCCCAGGGTGACACCATCCATAATGACTACCTCTGGTGACTCCCCACAGCAGGGGCACTGGAAGCCCTCCTCATAGGATATATCCAACAAGTCCAAGTATGCATACCATGCATATCGGAATCTTAAAGACAAAGTTAATGTTGTGAATGTTGTGTTGATAATTCATGTTGAAAATATATGAATAATGAAGTTATTGTGTATATGAGGTCAATTTCTGCAATGATGTACCTCTCGTCATGATAAACACTATTAAAAAAATGTTCAAGGTAGATCATCATTTCACACCATCTTGGCTTTAGGCCTGTGTTAATAAATGTTTTGTACAGACATGGATCAGTTTTGGGAGCCGATTCTGAAAATTTAACATAATTTTAGTCATTGTATTGTGACTTCTGAGATTGTTGATACCGATTTGATTGACAAAGGAACTTGTTTCCTTTTTACAGTAGGTGTATGGATATAAAAACTGGGCAAAATACATGAATATATGTATGAATAGACATATTTGGTAACCCCTAACATATTGAATGTTGCATGATTTGACTTGCTGTGCAAGCCATGACAGACAAAATTAGTACCTGTAGTAGGACAATTGGTTACTGAATTCTTGATCACCATTTTCAGCATGCTGCCACACCAATGTTTTATAAAAAGAAGACAGCGTTGTTCTGTAAAATAGAGGAATTTAGATAAGTGCTTTTATCCTACACAACTATATCAACAGAATGATAATGTAATTTTTTAAGTAAAATTGATATTTTATACTTATCCTGACTCATCATCTTTTGCTTATTTCCCTTTCCCTTTCGAATGGTAGTAGAACACTTGAATCCCTTTATGTTCCCGAAGCGGACGTATAAATACTCACCCATGTGTTACCTCCCTTCCTCTTTCCCTCTTTCTGCTGTGAAATCACAAGTGTCTTCAACGGGGAGGTTGGGAGGTCTTGTTCGACATGAGTCAGGATAAGTATAAAAATGTAATTTTTAGAGTAAAATTGATATTTTATACTTATCCTGACTCATGATCTTTTGCTTATAGAATCCGTCGGAATAGGTGGTGGGTCAAGCCACTGGATTCAACAGCTGTCCTTAAATACGTCCTGTATCCCCATGGGAACGCATTTCCTTGGTCATATTCTTCCAACTTAATGCGTAGTAACTCGGGGGACCAATCCTTGTCTTACTTCAATCTCAGACAAGTTGAATCATGCTGATTCGTGTGGTTATAGATAAACTAGTATTCTCCTGTACTAGATATCTTATAACAACCCATAGATTATGAAAAGGTCTTTTTCAAACACAATTTTATACTGTCCACACGTGTAGCTGGAACACTGCTGGGTTCCTGTGGACTTGCTTGGTGTGCGGATGTATCAGTAGGTTCGGCCAATATGGAAGCTGGATTACTGGGCTTCCTAGGTTTTCTATTAGATCTGGGAACCATGCTCTTGCTGGCCAAAGGGCGCGACCAAAGTCAGTTGTAGCCAAATACTTTTGGCAGTAGTATCAGGCGTTTAGTCCTTCCCACGACATGCTCAGTGCATCTGTTGCCCAGGCTTGAGGATCTGGAACTGGTGAGACAAACGTCTGTAGTTGTTTGTTGAACCTCGTGGCAAACAGGTCTATGGAAGGGAATCATATTTCCCTTATGGAGCATCCATTCCGTAGGTGACAGGTGTAGTGGGGGTGGAAGACTCCAGTCGTTCCGAACTCTGACATCAACGTCTGGTACCTCTGGAAGCTCTGGGGCCGCGGCCTCTTCCTGAGTTTCCCCTGTAGTTTACAACACGATGAAAACACGATTCAAAGTCAATATATTTTAACAAGTTTGTACAGATACTATATAATGATTATAGCCAAATCCATACACAGCCTATTTTAAAAGAATAGGCCTAAATAGAAACGGTAAATTGACGTATACGGGACTCCAGTGCTCGCCCAACCATACGCTTGGGCGAAAAGGGAGAGAGCGACAAGTATGGGCACGCCACATGGTACGCTTATGCTGGAAAGAGGAAGGGAGGTAACTCGTGGAGAGTATTGATACGTCCGCTTCGAAACTCCAAGGATTCAAGTGTTCCACTACCAATCGAAAGGGAAAGGGAGATAAAGCAAAAAGATCAGGAGTTAGGATAAGGAAAAATTTGTATATTTATAGCATATGCTGTAGATAATGGCAGGGCAATTACTGCTGCTTTTGAAATATGATTTATGCAACATTTTTTGTGTGAGTTTAACATGTTAACACTCCAGTTTTATCTGAGATTAAATAATGATTGCGCAACTTTCAATGCCCTATGAAATGTAAAAATTCACATATTACCCATCTGTGAGGAACTGTTTGGAATACTGTCGAAAGACTTGGTGTGAAACCATATAGGTTCCCATGTTGAGAACATGCTGATCCCCACCATCAAATTCTTTTGTTCTTTGGCAGTTGCTGCACTGTCTTCAAAAAACTTAACAAATTGAAAAGTTGCTTCATGTTTTCTTATTATACGAATAACATGAATAGCGGTGTCCTCTTACTTAGCCAGATTCTGTCAAAACAGGTCTCTCACATAGCCAGAGGGATTTGGCTGTAAGTTTCAACAAATTGCTCACTTAGTGAGATTAGCAGAAATTTGTAATTAATGTGAGATACTTGTACACTGACATGGCATTATTTGAAGGATTATTTTGAGGATTTGAGGTAATGCCTCAATTGGTGACATTAGTGACATCTGTATTTAAGGAGATACATTGATATGGTATTATTTGAATTCTTTTTGGAGGATTTCAGGAAATACTCAATTAGTGATATTAGTGAAATGATTTTAACTAGTCCAAGATTATTTATGCAAAAATATTTATTATTCCGAGCACAAAGATTTAGGCCTCTGGTTTCAAAAAGACGCAAATTGACTGCACAGATAAATTCAGTACCTATCAAGTTTCACCAATCATTATCTTTTATATGTAACAACTATGATCCTATAAAAAATTTGATTTCTTTCAAACATGGATATAGCATAAATGACGCCCATATGGTAACCTAGAAGTACCTAGATCTAAACATCATATTATTATGAAATCAGTACATAACTTTATTATCACTTTAAAGAATATTTAATCAATCTTAAATTTTCATCTAGCCCTTTGCAGAACTACTAAAGCATTTCTGCTGTATGGATGCTATATTGTATGCTTAATATTGTTTTATGATATCATGTACTTTTTGTAATAATGTTATGCAATACAACTACAAGTCCCATAAATGTTATTTTGTCTGACAGGCATTATTATAAGCTTTTTGCTTGTTTGCCGATACAGTGTGGGAAACAATATATCAGAAATAGATATGTTTAAATCAAATTTCATGTTACAAAACGCCAACAGACTTGCATACATCTTAAATAATGTTGCATTGTAGATACTCGACTATAGCCCATGAACAAAGGCTCATGCTTCAGTGGGCTAATTCTTATTACCTGGCTCGCATCCCTCTGTTCTCACATAGCCATAGTTCTATGTTGTTTTAACAAGACCTTTTTGGTTAGACTCTGGCTGAGTGAGAGTGAACCTGAATAGCACTTAGACCCTTTAAAGCAAGTAAAAATGTAAGAAGTAACAAAAGCCCTATCGTTGGTCTTGTTGTTTAACCAGTAACCAAATGTTGATATACTGGTAGGACAAGGAAAGAACAATTTGAAATTTTGCATGAATTTGTTAATATGCAAAAATAAACATTGATCAGACAAAATGACCAAGTGTAATGTTCTTCTTTCAATAAATGATGAAATTTAAACCACTTACATGAAGCTCAGTTTTTTTTTCTCAATTTAGACATATTGATGTTTTTGTAAACTGGAATTAAAAAGGAAAACATCTGCATACCCTCTAACACTGGATGAAGTGGTTATGTGAACATCATTGAGTCCAGGCCATCTGTTAATTCACCCCAAGGAGATCCACAAACACAGATGCTCGATGTGTCTGGGGCAAAACTGTTTCTCATATTTTCCTTGAAAAACTAGACATGCTGCTGAAATCTATTTTTTTTGATATTGGATAAGGGGACACATCGTGCCCTGAAAGATGGTTTTGATGACAACAGCTCTTTCTAGCAGTACCTCTAGCTTAATGAGTGCCCAGAACACTTGATGGCATCTCCGTATGTGGGCATGGTGCCTTTTGCATACAGAACATGCTAATGGAGTGCCTTGCACCTTGAAAGTTTAAGCTGACAATGGCATATGACTCGTTGGATGAGTTACTGGGTAGATATGTGGACACACACAGCATGTTCTGTTGACAAAAGGATATATGGAACTCCACCTATAGGATAAGAAAACAGGCCTGAGACATGCGAAACATTTATAGGCAATTAGGGCAATACCACAATGCATGATGTCCTAAAACATAGTATGCGAAAGTTAATAACAGCTTGAGATTACAATAGTAAGATAAAACATTGATAAACAGCATTTGTGATTTGAAAAAATGACTATATAGTATTATGATATAAATAATCTACTTGTGTGTACATATGGGTACAAAATGATTGAATTTCTAAACAACAAAATATACCATAATTATCTTGTTTTCTTTAGATTCAAGTAAACATTTAAACATTTACATGTAATTGTAAACCTGAGCCAAAAACATTTCTCATGAACTTACATGATCATTGGACTTTGGTAATATTGGTGTGTGATCCGACACATCTTTAGATTAAAAGAGGGCCATTGTATGAAATACAACAGTAGTTTGCCAAGATTCATGGCAAATTACATGTGCACTTACATCATCACACTATAAAGTACATGTAAGTTGTTTAGGGCTGTACAATATATTCCAATCTGGAAACAAAACACCCTCAAACAGGAAACGGAATGAAAAAATCAATAACCGAAAATATTCCATGTGAATCTCTTAAACACTTCATTGAAATGTAATCAATGAATGATACAGCAAGCATTCACATGGCATAATGGTGCTTTCTCAATACCAGTATAGTGTATTATACATACATTATAGCTAAAATACATGGAATTATCGCATGAAACGGCTCTCCCATTATCAGAAAATTTGCGGTCCGTGCCGCAAAATGATATTGGACCGCCTCAACCTTAACGGCTTCTACCGCTATCAGTCTCTGTTGTCGCGGACGCCATGGTTCAACATTAATTGTCTTTCGACTGGCACATATTCTGGGTCAAACAAGTCAGCAACTCCAAATTCCCGCTTTAAATAGCGGTAATGGCTTCTCTTGTTGGTGCTAACCTTCACAAATGCAGTATTAAGACTGTTGATGGACTAAAACTGAACACCGCCTATAGCTCTGACATGTTGCAGGCTATAGTGTATCTTGTCAACGGCTTAGGCCCTAATATCGTCACTTTCTGTTGTGACGTCACTGGAATTGTTCGACATGTAAATGCATTCCGGCAGTCAACCCCGTCATCAGAAGTTGGATTTGGGTAAACTTATTCAAATTCCTTTATTGTTTCCTTTGTCATTTCAACACAAATTCCATGTATTTTAAGAATATAATGTTTGAGGGTATTATCATTTGCAGAAGCCCTCGATCTTTCTCAACAGCACTCCTTCGTCGTCGGCAGTTAATGGAAGACCTCGGAGCTTCTGCAAATGATAATGCCCCTCTCAAAAATAGCATTACCCTTTTTATATTTATAGGCAAAGCCTGATGAATAATTCGCTAATTTAACTAAATTTTTTAGCAGAAAAATAAAAAATGGGGGTTCAAATTACTCCATTGACAACAACCGTAGTCACCGGTCGCGGATGAAGCTCCTTAACAGCCCCTTCTGTACGCCTTTGATATGAAGATATCTGACATGATTGGCATGCTGATTCTTAAATCTGCAATTCAACAATCAGAGGGAAGCTTTTAAAACGTTATTTCCTAGAAAGTTTCATATGTTTACTGTATCATGCAAAATACCTAAAGCAAACATCTACAATGGAATGCCAAAGGTAAATAAGGAAATAGTAAGCCTGTAAATTGTAGAAACATTTTACTTTGTTTCACTACTTCTGCGACATAATATGAGGTGGATGTGCAAGTAACAACAATAATGATTTGCGTCTTGTAATAAACTGATATTTAAGTACATATTAATACATATGAAAGTTCTAAAGGACTCATGATTTTGGTATTTCAGCAAAACTAACATAACAAACCTTTGATTTCTGGACTGAGCCATTGGCATATTGTTCAATGGCAAAAACACTCAGCGTCTCCCTTTGCCCTTCGTATTACTGCGCAAGCATAGACTCCAGGTATCGCCATCACAACAATGAATGCGCCGAACAATGTAGCGACATCCCGCTAAATACAAAAAAATATGTAAAAAGTTTAGTGAGGACATGAGACATTATTATTAGGTTATAACAGATATGTTAAATAAGAATCTAATTAGAGGTATTTGGGACAAAACATTTATGATTTAAAACAGATGTATAACTGCTTTAAACTTTATCAGATATATTTTAGATATGCAAATGCGTTCTGCTGATAAAAGAAAGAGAGATATGTAAAATTTCACATAGGAACCTTTATTGCACCATTAATAGGGAGAATATAGGGCCATGGTGGCTTCTAGCTGATGCGGATATGAAGAAAATATTCAGTGCAACATTTGCCGAAATTACAATCCGTCTGCAACCAAAATCCTGATTTTAAGTTTATGCAATACATGTTGGGTGGACAGTGAGCCATTTGACAAAACCCATTCGAGAATGTAATGTATTATAAACCGAAATAACCTTCAATTTGTTACATGTCTGGTCAAAGTCTTGCAGGGCAAAATGGCGTGATGCTGGAAGCCATGGAGACAGGCCTCTTTGCCCCTGTATCGTGCAGAAAAGCTGGCTACGTCTTTCTAGCAGTGAGTGTATAGCGTCTGAACTTGTGGCAAATCAAATTAGACAAGAGTCATAAGAAGAAGACATACACTCCCCAGTATGATGGAATCTCGACAATATGAAATGGTAATAAGCAAAGGATACTACTTCAGGGTGAGTTTGATATATATATGAAGTTTAGTGGAAAAATATTTAACGGCTTTCAAGTTATGCCCTGTTCTTCCAAAAATGGACACATATGCGACGGATTCGAGATACATGAGGTGCTGACTCATATACCCCGGGCATAAAAGCAGCAAAATGCAGATAAATTCAACTTCTATAGCCATATTCTTAATTTGACGGACCTTCGGGGTGGGGAAAAAATGACTTTCAGCATTTTAGTAGACAGGTTGACCTTGTGCTGACCAAGGCCTGACTCCACGCTTTAACACTGGTTAGGCTGATGGTAAATCCATTTGCTAGCGGATAATTTTGATTGGCCCTTGGTTGCCCATATGTAACTGATGAACACTTGGGGTGTGGTACCCTGGTTAGCAGCCTCCATGTGACATCCAGTAAAGAGAATTAGTTTCAATTTTAAATTCAATTATGAATAAGTAAAGGATTGTGTTAGCGCAAATGTTGCCGCGGTGAACAGCGGCAACAAGGACGGGTGGGCTGGAGGAACATGTAACGTGTCTGAGTTGGGTATTCATGTTAGGCTGTGGCATGGTAAGTCTGGGGTAGTACAAAACAGTCATGCATATACACACATGCACATTTCGTCATATGGATCGGTAAAACATTCATAATACCCACCCCAAACCTATTCTCTTTCACCACGATAATTCATGGAATGGGATCTTCCCGCAAACTTACGTCTTAATACTTTGACAGCCCCATCTGTGCAAAAATCTCTAGTAAATGGGATTAGGAAAGCTTTAAGAAAGACTTAGTTTAGTAGACATTTAGAAAGTGATACTCCTGGAGACATAGCTAAAAGTTTCAAGGGTTCACAGGTAAAGGGAACAATGAAATACCGCTACGCTAGCGCAGATATATTGCAGGCACAATTGAAATAGATACAAATGTAGTTGAAATGCTTTTAAAATATTATTGCAACATTCAGTAAGGAGGCTGTGACAACTAATTACACATTCCGCGGAAAAACATTCCATGATGATACTTAATCATTTTCTACCTATCTGATAAATGAAAAATTTTGCACACAAAATTTAGCTACTACCAATTGTTAATTAAAACAGATGGGATAATATAGTTCATATGAATACACATGGTATAACAATTATAAATAAGAACATTTCAAGTTTCGAAAATGACATTCAGGACATACTAGATGCTGCTGCATTCTAAAGCACAACAATGTTCAACTAGAAGAGATAATCGACTTCGAATTACTTTATGCTATTGGTAATAAATATACCAGATGGAACCATAAAAGCATCCCTTTATATATTGTGGCATTGTCACCCAAACAAAGTATGTAAAGAACTTGGAAAAGATTATGAGGGGCACTTGTATTTCACAGGGTTCCTGATTTGTTTCCTATCAGTATATATGCTATTCAACGACAGATACATGACCAGAAATGATTTTATCAGCAAACACTATTCTAATGCAACAAATCACAAATTTGACAAATCACGTCACTATTTATCATACGATTTGTTATTGAAAATATATAATACCACAACAAGGGGACATCACCTGCAAAAATACGAAGAAACTACAAAGCGACCGCAGATCCTTGAATATAAACAGACTTAAGTGCAAATGTTTTTACAGCCACAAGGAAGTTTGAAGTTAGGCCTTTGAAATGTACAGGATCAAAAAGGAACGCATACTACATTGCAGCCATCATCGGCGTGAAAACAGCAGTTCCCTGCCGCAAAGCGGGCGGAGTTTGGTTTTAATGAGCTCTTGGCAAACAAGTTATTGCGTAATACAAAAACAATATACAAAGCGAATTGCCAATTAGCTAAGGAATTTAGTTCCTAAAGTATCTCATACCAACCTCTTATTCAAATGTGACTGCTTTAGGAGTAGAGAGTTCTTGATCAGACAGCAGACCCGGCTAAGCGGTTGGTGATGAATTTGCTGATGCTGCGGTTGTTTCGGGCATGTTGACTTTGAAGCCTTCTGTGCAAATTCAGGAGGACCCAAAGTGTCAAATGAGACACTAATGCTTACAATAAAAAAATGGAGCCAGAGGTGACATACTGAAACAATAAAGCCTTCATGGCCAATGGGAACAATAGATTATTTTCTGGGAAGAATGGAGATATGACACATCAGAATGAAGAATAAGGACGATGCTCACTATACACTAGCTACTGAATAGTGAGAGAGTGAGTGAGTATAGGTTTACGCCGCTTTGGCAATATTCCACACTGAACTCATGGGGAATCGAACCCATGTATTTGGTGTGATGAGCGAATACTTAAAACCACTTTGCAACCCTATACAGTCAATAGCCGCTACCGAATAAATATGATAGCTGACATGACAACTGTAATAGCTGCTGAATGTATAATAATAATTAATGATGACAATAATGAATATCATATTTACAGTATCGCCCTTCCTTAAATTCCTCCTCTTCTTGAAGTTTGACTCGGAACGATTATATTGTCAAAGTCCTCGTTCAGCTGGAACCGATTTGGGATTATGGCTACAACAAATAAAAAAAATAAAAGAATTTATAAATGATTAGCCCATGAAACACTGACATATATGATATATGTAATTTTAACATATGATCCCTAATTCTACAAAATATACTGCGTTGTTGGACATTAATTGGACCCTATAATACTCATATTCGGCTATATTAGGCAAAATATTGAAGAGATGATTGGACCTTATATAACATTGATATGAGGTTTTACTTACTCAGCACAATACATGTGTTTCAGTGTTAATTAAAACCCAAGCACTTTGACATACGTTCACTATATTATGCAAATTATAGACTTTATTCAGCAAATTTACTGCCAAAATGTAGTAACATTCCAGGTTACTGAGTAAAGATCTCTCAGGTTTGGGAAACCTACCGATCGGTCTATAATAGGCAAAGCGGGATATAATAGGCCGTTCCGCTCTATTTTGCTATAGGCCGATTAGCCTTTAATTATGATATTCATCAAATGAATTTGAAGTGGTGCATTTACGCATGAGGATATTAACATTCTTCAAGTTTTGAGGTGCTAAGGTTTTCATTCAAACCCTTTTTTGAGCATTTTAACATAATAAAGAAGTTTGGACATAATTTCACTGAAAATTAATGACATAGATATTCAGTTTTAGTTGTCAAAATGAAAATCTGTGCAAAATTGTGTTCTTAAATGAAAACATCTTTCCTGAACATTATATAAATTTCCATTTTATCCAAAAACTTATTTTTTCAAGCTGAGTTGGTCCATAACTATCCATCTCCAGGATCTAATAAAAGAGCGGGTGCCAGATCAAATCGCGCCCCAGCTACAAAACGCCCCTGCCAATTGGGTCAAAATGCCCCAGATTTTTGGTCAAATCGCCCCAGGTTTGGTCAAATTGCACAAGGGGGATAGTCAAAATGCCCCAATGTATTTAAAATTGGTTAAATATATGCCACAAATGCATAGTTTTTGTCAACTTCAATATTATATTCTATATATAATATTATATAGTGATATATCTGATACATTTTCTATTAGTAAACTGATAAGACCAAAAGTAATATTCATGTACATAAACAACACTATAATACCAATTATTTGGTAAAGAATTACAAGAGTAAAATGAAAGGTTTGTATAATATGTTTACTGGCTGTAAATAGTTTTTGGTCAACAAATGGCATTATGTAAACATATTTATTTCCAAAGAAAGGAACCGGATTGGTAAACAAGCATAAGCTTATATGAAGAGTACATGAAAAGAACTAGTGAGCAGAGTCTTCATAGTTATGGCCACAAGAGCAATATGATGTCAAAGATGTAAATCTTTCATACTTGTGCGCATAAAGGTCACTACATTCAAGTTGGAGACGAGAATGTATGATTAGACAAAATCTGCTTACCGAAATTTAAGTCAAAATGACTGTAGATATTAGAATCGTTCAAAATTACATTTTGAATCTTGATAGGTGATGGTCAATTAGTGAATATGTTTTATAAGCCTGAAATGTTCATACATTCGAGGCCTCAAAATTTTCTTTAACTAAACACAGCATTGAATGTCAATAAGTGAACATGTTTGAATAGCCTGTTTTTATTCACACTTTTGACAAGATTAATTAATCAAAGCTCTAGATTGTTTTGATAAGCATTATGCCATACTTGTTGAGAAAATCTATGCATTTACGACCTCACCTTTTGACAAGCAATTAATAATAACAAAAAGCTTTTAGATTATTTTGATAAGTATTATACCATACTTGTTGACAAAAACTATGCATTTATGGCCAATAACAACTTTATACCAAACATTTCAGTTTATTATTGTAATTCTTTACAAAAGCGTTACTAACATGCAAATAGTGGTATTATAGTGTTGTTTATACATGAATATTACTTTTGCTCTATATGGAAGTTGACAAAACTATGCATTTATGGCATATATTTAATCATTTTAAATACACTGTGGCATTTTGACTACCCCCAACAATGTGATCAAACATGGGGCGATTTGACAAAAAATCTGGGGCATTCTAGCCCAATAATAAACAGTTAAATAAGGGCCAAGCTAAGCGGGTACTAATGGCAAAGTTTTGACATCATTTGATGACTGGTTATATGTAATATCAATGTAATTTACCTGCATGATTCATCTTGAATTATCCAACGGTGGAAGCGGAAGTTCAAATATGAACATGGATTACTCCCTTGTTGTACCGAATGACACCTTAAAAAAGACGACATTAATGTATATTTCGCAATAATATAGTAACACAAATATCAAAAAGCATTTTCACAAGTTTTTCATAATGTGTTTATTAGATAACGGGTTAATGCCAATGTATGTGCGAAATGTGAGATTTGAAATACTTTAATATGACTGGCGCGTAAGTGTGGCGCTTAGCCATATTCCGGCCGCTTTAAAGGGCAAGTGTACACGAAAATTAACCTTTTTGTCTTGCACGTTTTCTTCATAAAAAGTGTTTATCAAGTCGTTTTATATCCAAACCCGTACATAAATCAGAAGTAACTAATTTATTATTTGCGTTATATCAATTCATATTTTCAACATTTACCAAGAGTTCTATGTCCACAATAAACACACCATGGCTTATGTCCCTTGGAAATGACGTCATTGGTGCCCAAACGATAAACGAATGACGTCGTCAGACCTTATTAGACCCATTTCACGTGGTGCAGGTATAGGTGTGGTTCTTTTGTTCTCGATGCGCAGGCTAATACCGTTTTAATCCACCTGCCGCTTGGCCGTCAGCTGTGCGGTCAGTTCTACACTGTAATGACGTTGCAGTTTGAAAAAACGTATACATTGTACTAAGAGTGTTACCACGTAACCAAATTCTATATAACATATACAACCTGAGTCGGTCGTCTCTTCCAACAGTACCTTTTTTCATGAAACCTATAAAACGTATATGCACTACATCTTGCTTTGCCATCGGTGAATGTGCCGGCATTCTACGTTTGTTACTAAAGTTCTTACATAAATCGTACGATATGTCACTCCTCTTCCACCTAATTCACTTTTATATCGATAGTACTCTTACATCACGCAGATAAATGCAATTTGCAGTTTTGAACACTGTTTGAAATTAGTTTTTCTATGATAGCATCCGCTGATTGTAGATAAAATTTACTGAAAATTACATGCATCGTAAAATCCTCGCCAGTTTTGACTACACTACTAAATCACGATTCACTTCTCGCGTTTTGCGTAATTTATGGTAAAATGTCAAATTTTACTGGGAGAATTGAATTTAAAAGAAAAAAGATGTATCATTGTGATCAGCAGTAGTTTTGTTGTTGTATGATCGAATCACCAATGCCTCGTTCTGAAACATTATCAATGAACCGAGAATCGCTGAGAAAGTTTTGGAAAATACGCAAACGTCAAAGTGAAGTTTCAGCCATATTACATAGTGTTTATAAAATCACGTCACATGTATGTCGGTTATGTTTCGTCCATAAAATTCAACACCATCTTCCTTACATGAATCCCTGAATCCCTCCTCATACAGTTCAAAATAAACTGACAAATGGACTTTGTCACCAATACGAAGAATGTTTCAGTGAAATCTAACGAAATATATCCGAAGATATTGAGCTGCCGCGCTGTGAAAGAATACTTGTTTGAAATGTATACAAAGCCAATCTCAGATTTTACACTGTGCATCCGTTCGCCTACTTGTTGCATACAATTGCTCATTAGTTTTAGAACATGCATGGAAAGGTATCGTAGCAAGCGATAGTTAAATAAAACAGGTGTATGCCAATGATTTTCTAGATTCATCACAACATATTATAGTTTTTGAAAGCATGACGCCATAACTGACGCAAACTCACGCACAACGATGACGGTACTTCTCTTAATTTCTGACTATTTCCCTTGGTCACAATGAAAACAAAAAGAAAATAACAACCAGCAGACTGTCAGAAGTTTCGGACTACTTACATGTCACATTTATGCATATACGTTGCTTGAAACAACGAAAATGTCCTTCGAAAACTCGTGTCAGTGAACACGCCATTTTGCAAAAGTCGCTTCCCTGATAGTGATGTCATACAGGACGTCAACATTGTTATACATATTTGGTATTTTCATTGAGGCGAGGTTATGAATGAAAATACACACGACCAATCCGTCCTGCTGCTTACATTTTCTGTTCTTAAGCTTCTTCGTATTTTCACGAACTTTTTTCACGTGATTAATATCAGTATTATTATCTTTTGATTTGGGACTAGACAGGAGACCAGTTTAAATTCAAGTGGCACCAATTACGTCATAATCAAAGGGCGGTAACTCTGGCCTGTTTAGCTCCGGCAAAAAAAATACCCTCATATTGGCATAACATTTCAGCACTTATTTTGAGGGTTATACTTTACGTTGTAAGAAAAAAATGAGTGTATATTTTCAAACATTGGTATTAACTAATTAAAACAGTTCACTTTGATTCACATAAGAATAAATGTGATTTATTCGTGTACACTTGCCCTTTAATACATGCAACAGCTCATCCGCCATATTGAAGTCAGTTGTATACGTTTCTCTGGGTTCTGGTCGTTTCTAAGGAACAATGTCAAATCCAATATCGTCAACAGCCAAAGCTTTGGTCGACTCCGCTACTGATGTAAGTGAAGAGACGAAACCAGCTTCACCAGCGCCTGATGACTCCATGTTCTCTACACCCAGCTCTCTGACTGACGTGGTGCTCGTTGTTGAAGGGAAGAAACTACACGTGAGTAAAGCTCTACTTTGTCTCACTCCCCTGCTTTCCTGAAAATGTTCGAAGGTGACTTTAAGAACAAAACAGAGGTTCCCATCGCGGACAAGAAGTATGCAGATTTTGTTGAGTTCCTGTTGTGTATTCATCCGTCCACTTGCAAACCTGTCCAACGAGAAACACTGGACATTGTTCTGCCCCTCGCTGACGAGTACGAGGTCGAGTCTCTCATGCAACGGTGTGAGCAGTTTGTCCTCAATTTGTTCCAACTCAAAGATGCACAGCGATCAGATCCGTCTAATGTAGAACTGGTTCACTTTCTCTACCTGTCTGACAAGTATAAACTGGGTGCTCTTCTGGACGCCTGTGTTATCAAGGCGAAATACAGAACTTACGAGAACGGCATCAAAACTTTGCGGGAATTTAATCTTCTGTCTGCAGATACCAAGTTTCGTGTACTGTCTGGAAGAACGAGTTTGCTTGAGGTAACCTCAACAGATGTACAAATGTTTAAGAAACGATTGGATCATATTGTGAAACCTGAGTGTAACGCATGTAATGATCCAGGGTGGAAGCATAGCTCTTCAGGATGCAGAGTTCAGTTGAAATCCGACCTGTTAACTTACTTTGACAAACTCACAAGTTACTTTAGGGAGGATCCACGCTATGTGAAAGTGTCCGAGGGTCGCAAATTGGCTGTGAAGCAGGCAAAATAAACTTTCCAAAAAATACGTTTTGAAAAGGTGCAAGATGAACTGAGAATATGTCATACGAGGGCTGTCTGGAAGAACGAGCTTGCTTGAAGCACCCTGAACAAGGTTACATGCTTGTAAGCATTTTTTTAAAATTACATTATGAATCCTGATTGTCACGGATGCCGTCGACCAGGACTCAAGCATACTTCACCAGGATGCAGAGAACAGTTAAGATCCAAGCTGTCATCTTACATTGACAAACTCACAACATATTTCAAGAGGGATCCACGCTATGACCCTAAACAAGCGGTACAAGATGCAAAGTAAATGGACATTTCCTAACAAACATGGTACATTGGGTACACGGTTGTGTCTGTCAAGTGATGTGAACTGTTTTGTCTTGACCTGGCAGATTAATACAAACTGTAGTCAGTATTGGACAAATGTGTAGTCAACCTGAAATACCCACCTATGATGGACAACAAAGATGATGTGAACAGTTTACCTGAATCCCAGTGTCTATCATCGGATATTTAAGTTCAAGAAATGTCTGAGAGAATATGATTAAAGGAAGAACCTTGTTCCTGCCATTCGAGAACCATAGCATAATTTAGACCAAATATCAAATCCTCTGTATTATGGGTGTCTTGAGAACTGAAAAACGCATTCAAATGAGATTAACGTTTCAAGTTAGGCCTAATCCAGCAGGTTTAACCACCATTCCAAACTGTCTCTGCTCAATATGTGTAGGTACAACTTAGCCACTACCAAGAATTTCACGAAAGCGTCAAGATGTATCCGGCCAGTTAAAAAGATATACCTTTCAAAGGGTATGGATTTGTTCAGAAAAATGCTCTGCTATTGATGTCATGTATGCTATAAATACATGACATCTCGCACAAATCACAGGGCACCATCAACACGTGTACATTATGTGCTCAGAACCTGTGGTTTTTGAACTTAGGAAGCCTTATCTTGACAGTCGTCAATCTTTCAGTTTGTGTAGCTTTTGTTGAGGTTTATATTATCCAGATGACTGGACATGTTTGTTGTTTAACGTCGCACTCAGCAATATTCCAGCTATATGGCGGCGGTCTGTAAATATTCGAGTCTTGACCAGACAATCCAGTGATCAACAGCATGAGCATCGATCTACGCAATTTGGATATTATGACATGTGTCAGCGAGTCAGCGAGCCTGACCACCCGATCCCGTAAGTCGCCTCTTACGACAAGCATGAGTTACTGAAGACCAAGTCTAACCCGGACCTTCAAGGGGTGATGACCACTGAGACTACCCTTGCACAGCTGACTCTGTATCTGTCTTGGTACCAAGACCTACTGAGTCATGTCCACAGGACTACACAGGTTATAGTAAATTCCATATGTCCCTCACTGTATAATATACTGATAAAGACAAACTCGTTATGAAAACGAGTATGGATGTACATACGTACATGTAGTATTGTTATGTAGGGTAAAATGGGGTTTAGGGTCCATATGACAACGTGCATGCTTGTGCATGTATGGCAACTTGTACTAGCCCAGACTTAGGCTGGCTTTATAGTGCTAGGTCACTTAGATACCATGCCGCAGTTATGCATGAATACCCCATCTCAGACACATTATCTTCCGAGCCGACCAGTCCTTGTTGTACCCATTCATGCCGAGCACCAGGCAGGGACCTGTAGTAGGCCTACTGTCAACTCTTGTGTCCTTGTGTGTGGAATAATGTTTTCAGATGTGTTATCGAATCTCTTATTCACATATATATAAATATATATCTATAAATCTGTATATATAAATTTATAAATTAGATTAGTGATTCTGTAAAAAATATATATATTGCCAGCTTTAGTCATTACCCGTTCACCATGACTCAGGGCCTATGCTTTAACCAACTACCACTCTCCATTGTCTATAATGTAAGCTGGGGTAATGAACACACTACTGATGTTATACCTATTTCTTTTTGTAGCTTGCTTATAGCCAGCTTTTGACTCCTCCAGCAAGTTAAAACATTAAAGTGATGAGTCACTCCACATTCCAGGTCGGGAGCGAGATGAGAGGTTTAGCCATCTCGGCTTGTTAAACTGACTTTCTGAATATGCCATGTCGGCATAGAGGGGATTTCATTTCATGGATTTATGTATTTTTATTCTAAATAATGTGATGGAACAGGAACAACTGTTTATCCAAAGTAAGACTTTTAACTATATCAAATGATACTTGTTTTGCACATTGTACATATGTATAGACTGCCATTATTAAATCTATTTTAAACTGTTGTGTGATCTCTCCACTCGTAACAGATGCGTGCAACGTAATTGTGCTAGTTTGTTTCTAAAAACAGATGTCCGATACAATTCCCAAGTTTGACTTGTACCATATGTGGCCATGATATACGCATGAAAAAGTGTCAAATGATGAACTCACCGCACAGTATGAACAACCAGAATGATATGAGATGAACAGGTATCAGTGTCTATAGTATAAAGTCTTTGGGCACAAATTCACTCGGGTAGTTGCGTGATCGTCTCCTTGATGTAGCACAAACACAAAATTACAGTCACAAAATATCAGAATCTCACTCACGTATCGACGCCTGACAGGTGTGTTTCAAGGTGTCTGTCCCGAGGGTACATGTCCCACGCCTCTCTGGCTGTCATCCTCACTGGGGCTCCAAAATGTAGTAGCGGATATGGGTGAATGTTGGTGGGTGGGTGGAGCGCACACAACACAACGCTACTTGTGGTCACAGATGACTGCCACTTTATTTATCCATTAAAAGGAATGTTTGAATAACTCTGAAAATATACATAAAAATAACTAAGTATTTGAGCATAAAGGTATAACATGGCTTACGTATACATGTATTACACATTCTATATAGTCTTAGCATGCAGCTAGCCCAGACAAAACACGTACTAGCATAAATACATCTTTAAATATAGATAGCAACATGAAAACTATTCATACATACATATATCATTTATGACATTCAATGAATATATTACAAATATACATGAAGGAAATATATAGAGTTTATTACATACAAGATCATAAAGTACACTTACCACTGTGTGGCAAATGAGTGTAAACAAGCTCTCATAGCAGTCAAGGATCATCAATCATCACGGATCATTCTAAGAAACGTTAAAATACAATCTTGATAATACTAATAATGGTATATAAAAATAAGTTATAATAAAAGCAACAAATATCACATCCACCCTCACTATTTCATACCACATTTTCATACGATTATACATTTACACAATACGTTAAGTCATAATTTAGCTTTAATTAGGCTGTACTGATGGTTGGAAAACAATAGATACATTTAAGTACACACCGATGCATTAATGTAACAATTCTTTAAGAAATACACTATACACTCAGAACCTTGCCTGACCCAGTAGGGTGGCTATTGTTAATTGAGTAATTGCATAAGTGCAGGGATATATTTAACTGAGAGGGTTTGTTATATTTTATCTGTAAACTTAAAATCTGACACCTATACAATAAACAGTAACTATATACAAGTACTTAAAATTGAATGCAGGACTTACAATGAACACAACGAAAATGTTATTATACCTCAGTGAACCAAACAAATACAGTCAGTCCATAATAAAACCACACCTCTGTCGATTAAACACTTTGTTGCAAAGATTATATTTTTATTTTATTTAACGAACACAGAGTTTGCTGCTGTAATGACGCCAGGCATCATCAAAATGTGCGTATATATAACGTGCTCCATCTGGGGCTCTAAATAGTACAGTGGAAGGGAGACAACTCCAGTCGAATGGTATTAACCCCATGGATGCCACAGGACATATATGTCCTTCCCCATCAACCCTTAATATACTTCATGTCCACATTCGAGATTCGTCCAAGAAAAGTCCAAATCCCCTGTACCCCGTCTTTTGAGAAGAGCTGCTGTCCAGAAATATGCTGAATCGCCACTGTCCAGATCAGTTCAATCAATCGATCAACTCAAGCAAATGTTCGTACACGATTCACGTTTCATGTAAACACGGCTATGTCATCCAGCATTCTTAATTATGTCTCAGTTTATTTGAATTATCAACAATTTTAAGGAAAATTAACTATGATCCGAAAATTCACAAAGACGTAAAATTAGGAGGTAAAAATATATGTCAGTTAACTGTGTGCACTGTATTTCCTCTATTAGATTGTGTTAATTTGATTCGCACAAGTTACTGACCCAGCGTCTGTTCTGTAATCTGTATAGGCTGGCATGGTGGCAGATAACCCGGATCTTCACCTCTGATCTTCAGGGTTTCACCTCTGTTGAGAATTAATATGCAGTGGCACCAATGTCAGTGTCATCGGCCAGTGAGACGTCCCAGAGAATCATGGTTAAATAGAGAATTCACTCCAAGTGTCTTCTGATATCAATTATATCAACACCAGTTGATAAAGTTACAAATATCCGAGGCTTGCCGAGGATATTTTACTTTTATCAACGAGTGTTGATATATTTGATATCAGAAGACACGAGGGTGAGATTCTATTTATCATCCAAAATTACTCTTCATTAATTTTCAATTAAAAATGTACATCTCTGAACATGGTACTGCCATTAGACGCAGTGCAGAGATGTCATAGCATTGTGATGTCATCAAGTACATGACGTCATAGCATTGTCAGGGCATTGTACAAAATCTGCTGTCAAAACGATATCTCCTAGGAGATATCGTTTGATCTCACACAAGCGATATCTCCTGTGGAACACAGTTTTGGATGATAATTGTTGATATCAAAACTTGGATGACAGCAAACTTCCCAAAATCAAATGATGGCAAAACTAAACTTTTGATCACCAGTTCAAAACTAATGCACACCAAGATTCAACTTCCCAATATACTGATTAAAGAGACTATTGGTTAACCAGCAAGGAAATCTTGGCTTGATCACTTGATAATGCAGAGATACATTTCCTCGGACAAATCAGTGTATATGTTGACTATTTCAATTAACAGGAAAAGGTGTTTGCAAAAATATCTTGGCGAAGCAGGATTTGAAACCACAATTAGATGTTTGTGGCCTAAAGACAAAACGGTCCACAGCGTTTTACATAGCATTAGACGAATATGTATTGTGCGTTTTAATGAGGATTCATTGTACAGTAAATTATGTTTACATTGAACGTGCTTACTCATAATAACTGTGCTTTTCCTGGAACGTGTTGTATATTTTAGCCGAAATATGTATAACGAACAACAGTTAGAACGACCTACAATTACTTATCATATTGTGTTCCTCTTATAACTGTAGTTTACTGTACATGTCCATTGTATATACATGTAACTGTATCATTACTCAATTAATGATTATTTCGTTATGACAATGTGATCATTTACAGCTATCAGTCTTCTTTATTTACACCTGCACTTATCGTATAGTCTTGACGAGTGATCATTTAAAGTAGTGTTAACAGTATATCTTTGTTTTTAATATCTTGTATCCTTCAGCATGGAAGGATATGATCACCATGGAGGTATTTCCAATGTATGAAACTGATTCTGAATGATTATCTCATATATACCGACGCGGTTGTTATTTCGTGGCATGTCTCGGTCAGCCAGGTCAAGCGATGATGGCTACAAATGGAGTGGACTGCTTTCGGGACATTGACCGAAAAGTAGCTTGTGGTCAGAATAGCTCAGGTTCACGTTGTAAGTGAAACATCACATGGCTGCAACCAGACTGGCCCTCAACTTGCTCAAGAATACCAGTGTTGGCAGAGGACTCTTCCTATGTTGATAGTTAAGCCTAAATGAAACACTGACATAGGTCAGCTGGATCAGCCAACCAGGTAGCCAAGTACAGGATCAGCCAATCAAGTGGCAGAGTAGTACGATCAGCCAACCAGGTAGCAGTACAGGATCAGCCAATGAGGTAGCCGAGAGAAGGATCAGCCAACAAGGTAGCCGAGAGAAGGATCATCCAATGAGGTAGTCGAGAGCAGGATCAGCCAATCAATCAGGTAGCCGAGTACTGGACCAGCCAACCAGGTAGCCGAGTACTGGACCAGCCAACCAGGTAGCCGAGTACTGGACCAGCCAACCAAATAGCTGTGTAATAGGTTGAGAAAGATTGCACGTTATTCACACATGCTGAACGAATTTCCAGATGAAACCTAAACAAATAACATCATGTTGAGATTGTATTCATTTATGGTGTTATGGAGGACAAGTCCAAATATGATGCAGCAGTGACAAAAACGATGCATGATGCAATACCCATGTTTTACACGTCTTGTCTTGAATTGCCTTGCCTTTGCACGTTCTCAAAACGTTTTGATGACACCTTGTATCAGCATTTTCTCATGGTGTTTCATTAGGACATGCTAATGCTTTCAGTACAAACTTCTCAAAGTAATGGGATGTTTTTGTCGCCTTTTTAAATTATAAACATAGTTAGATGTTTGCAATAATATGTAACTTGAAGTTTCCAGTGTGAGAAAACTGTTCTTGTGTATATGTTGATATATTAGTAAAATGATAATAAATGTATAAGTTGATTCTGATGTGTTCATTCCTTCAAGAGCCCTTCCTTTTCCCTGTGCCTTGGCTTCAGGAATAAGGCAAGCGTTCCCAGCAGAATGAATGCCAGTGATTCAGTAGCGTGCATGTTCACCATTCCTCAATCAGTGCCTTTACAATCCAATGTGTCAGTTGGTAAGTTGTGACGGTGTTGAATTCTCTGGTCACGGATGGCGAACCTTTGAGCATAATATGCGAGAGTCAAGGGCGGAATCAGGCCACGTCGTGATCATATCAAAACTGTGATAATCGTCATCAAATACAATCAGTGTTAATATTGTGATAGTGTTTTCCGTTCATGCATTCTGCCACATGACCTCATGTTTGGAACGTGAGTACCATCAATGTCTCCAATGATGCTGCTTGTTTTCTTTGTAATTTCACGTAATTGAACTGGGAATGTTATTGATGCTACCCGAAAAGTGGCAATCTCAAGGCATTCAATGTGTCGTGACACTGCTGATCTTACACAGTGACGATGACAAGTCATCTCCATTGTACAGATGCGTTTTTCCTGTTGACGCTAAATAGTGCCAGATGATAGCCATTGTCAGTTCAGGTGCTATTGTAGATTTCATTCTGTCGATGATACACACAAAAAATGATTCCTATTAGATCCAAATGGAATTTCTTGATTAATTCAGTGACTGTAAATACTTCAAACGTCCTTTAGTTCTCAAAATGTCTGAGGTGAGGGCAGCTGCGATGAGAGGCAGCCATTTGGTAGAGTTAAGAAACTTCTTACGAAGACTTAAGAATCCTCCTAAAATGCTCTATAACGAATCTTCTCAGACGGAAGAGTAACTTTAAAAAATTCACCTATACTTAGTACTAAGTTTAAATTCTGAGAATGTAAATAGCTAGGGTCCTTGTTCTCATTTGTTAATACCCAAGGGCAGTGGTTGTACTTATAAACACAGAAACATTATCAGTCGTGGTAAGTGAGTGAGTGAGTTTAGTTTTACGTCACACTCAGCAATATTTCAGCTATATGGCGACGGTCTGTAAATAATGGAGCCTGGACCAGACAATCCAGTGATCAACAGCATGAGCATCAATCTGGACAATTGGGAACCAATTATATGTGTATCAGTCGTGGTAAGAGACCACAATACTGGATTAGGTGACCAAACTTAGTGACTGGGTTCATTGGTTTCATCAGTCACGGGTTTGTCTAGTCCAGGCTCCATTTACAGATGGCTCTGACATAGCTGGAGTAATGTTAACTGCCAGGTAAAACAACAAATTTAACATTCAACAGAAAATTCTTATTGTGCAAGATATATTGCTCTTATTAGTTGGATCTGAAATAGTGGAAAGGTTTGTGTGTCTTGCACAGTGTACCCAAATCTCAAAACACTGGAAAACCTCAGAGTCACCAACTATCAAGAAATAATTCAAGTAATTTTATTGTTCATGACATTACTGAAGGACAAAGTATGCACAAATGATAAACAATATCAATGATTAGAAGTGAAATAGAACAGGAAGGAACAAGACACATGATAGTCCTTAGAATTCTCAATGCTGATCTGAAGGAAGAGCAGCAGTCACTCAGTCTGATCCAATTGGTGTTTCCTGAAGGTTTCCAGTCTCGGCACAATCATGTCAATGTCAGTGAACACTCTTGTAGGCTATTATGGTGGGGATGGCAATGGTTGTGATAGTCTTGTTCTAGCAGGTTCAGTCTCCATTTACGTCTGTGAGTGCTGGTCGCTTCTGTGATCGAATACCAGCCCTGAAATGAACAAAAATCATTAGAATAGATCTTGCATGCAGCCACATAATCTGTAGATCAAACAGACCTGTGAAGATTCAGGTTGGAATTGGTCTTCAGTAACCCATGCTTGTCGCAAGAGGCTACTAATGGGATCGGGTGGTCAGGGACGCCGACTTGGTTGACACATGTCATCGTATTCCAATGTGCGTAGATCGATGGTCATGATGTTGATCACTGGATTGTCTGGTCCAGACTCGATTATTTACAGACCGCCACCATATAGCTGGAATATTGCTAGGGACATTAAACAACAACCAAACTATAGATCAAAGAACATTATTGAAGAGCTGGGCATGCTGGGGTGAATACACAGTGCTTGATTGGGTTTGGTACATACTACTAGTGGAAGTGGTAGTGGAAGGGTGCTTTGTAATATCAGCAATCTGCTATTCAGAGGTACTGGGCACCTGCGTCTCGTTCTTTGTAAAGCATATGTACATAAAATGACAAGGCTTTCGGTTTGAATAATATTCAAACTTGGAAAGATATGTTCAAAAGGTGTTATAATGTCTGCATGGCAAGTGTGAGTCAGTTCACAGTGAGAACTTTAAGAAGCATCCAGGAGACATATGTCATCTGACATGTACTGGAGATGGTAACCTTTAAGCTACAACTGTTGTAAGTCTATGTTATGGGAGTTATGATCACCTTGGATCGCTTGTTACACTGACATCCTGGATCAATGCTCACAATATCAACCCCTGGACTTACTGGGCCAGACTTGATCGTTTACAGGCAGCCACCACACTGATGGAGTACTGACGAGTGTGGAAGTAAACAAGCAAACAAACAAACAAACAAAGACCATCACATACTACTTAGAGTTAGTGAGTGAGTTTAGTTTTACACCGCACTCCGCAATGTTCAAGCTATATGGCGGCGGTCTGTAAATAATCGTGTCTGGACCAGACAATCCAGTGATCAACAGCATGGCCATTGATCTTCACAATTGGGAACCGATGACATGTGTCAACCAAGTCAGCGAGGCTGTCCACCCGATCCCGTTAGTCGCCTCTTACGACAAGCATGGGTTACTGAAGATCAATATTCTAACCCGGACCTTCACGGGTATACTATTTAGAGAACTTGGCCCAAGCACATGGTCCTCAGTGAAGGGAAACAATCAGAGGAAATATAGCATGCAATACATTATTGGGTCTAAGGAATCTACAGCAGTGTATATCATATATATGGAATATATATTGAATGTATGGGTTGGATCTTGGAGATCACAGCTCCACTACATTATCAATGGTATAGGTACTGTAGAGTGGGTGATGCACCAAGGCAGTTAGACTGTGGGGTGGACATTCTAACAATGTTAATGATGTTATTCATTTGTACACTGCTTATTTCCAAAGTAGCAAGGCTCTGAAGTGCTGTAATAATTACCCCGGATAACCCAAGCTGCCTGTTAGGTGCCAAAAGGTTATAGTCACATGACTTTATCCAACCGGGTACCCATTTTCTGCTGGGTGAACAGAGGCAATTTTGAACAAACTCACTTGCCTAAGGTGAGACCACATGTATCACATGTGCATTGTTGTGGGGCAGGACTGAGGTCCTAGAAACTCTCAGGATTCAAGCTGCCAAACACGGTCACCCATCCAAGAACACTCCGCGACCAACTTATCTTATCTTCAACTGATTTGTGACCTGAGCTCTATGCACACGACCACACATCACTTAATCTAAACACGGGAATCATTATCCTGATTATGTGTCAATATGTTCAATGCCAAACTAACTCTGATAAAGCGTGATAATAATTTTTCATGCTTACAAAGTATTCTCCAGTTCACCTGATATTTTATCCAACCATAAGAATATCCTACAAAAACATTCATAGGAATTAATTTTCGTCAGACTGTTTGCAACATTATTTTTTCAACTCTTATCATGTACACTTAAGCCTTCCCCCTTACTCTATAAGCCGTTCTCCAGACTCTAGAAGATCCCAGTGCCTTGGTGCAACACTGTAGACTTACTACAAGCGTAATTCCTGCAGTATTGAGCAGGGGTTCAAGTACATATTGTTTTCAAGCATACAGCCAAGCAGCTACTCCGATCCAAGACCTGTCTACTTTGACAAATATAAACTCTTTACCGACAGTACTGCTGGACCCGGTTGACTTGGAAGGTGAAAGTTTAATACCGTTTACTGCGAGGAGTTTTGGGTTCTTCAGTTACAGACTGGGAACTGTCTTTTCCTTCCAGTAGAAGACCCTGTAGATTTCGCCTCGTGTGCTCCAGTGATTCAACCTGTTTAACATTAGCCTTGCTGCCACGGAGTGGGGTTGGAGAGCCAAACACACTGTTCTCTAGCTCGCTGAAAGAGAAAAGTTGATGATGAAACAGCTGTGTGGTGGTAGTCTGTAAACAGAGCCTTGGCCAGACAATCAAGTGATTGACATCATTCACATCAATCCACACATCTGAGAGAGATGATATGCAATCAGCTTAGCCAAATTTATTGCGGCCTATGTTTCTACCTGAATCCTCACAGGTACATAAACTTTAGGACATAGGACACAATCATACAATGAAATAGAACTAAAGAGTGATTAACTCTGACCCACGATGACTGCAACTGTATGTCCCAATATATAACGCAATACAGACACATGTATCGTACATTGTATCCACCCTTATCATCATTATTATCTGTACATTCAAATCAGGAGACCTGACCATTTTATCATAAACCCTTCATCTCCCATACACCTGCAGCATGTTAATACCACAGTAAATGTCTCACAACAGGTTGACTGACTGACTGACTGACTGACTGACTGAGTTCAGTTTTACGCTTTTTAGCAATACTCAAGCAATCATCTCCTGGGGGACACCAGAAATGGCTTCACACATTGTGCCCATGTGGGGAATCACACCACAGGTTGAAAATAAGGAAATGATAAAGTATGATGGAGAGCTGAACAAGGATTTCTGTTACCTGTCTGCTTGAGCTTGTGTCCGTGTGCGTCGGCCTGTTGTTGACTTGGCTGTCTTGTTGGCCTGTGGCATCAGGATTGGGGCGGTCGTTTTCACTGACTTGGCTACAAACAAGAATTAGTTGAATGTTCACCATGTGATCACTTATACTGAATCCTCCTCTGTGTATGATGTTTATTTTGTTTAATGAAGCACTCAGCAATATTCCAGCTATATGGCAGCGGTCTGTAAATAGTCGAGTCTGGACCAGACAATCCAGTGATCAACAGCATCAGTATCAATCTGTGCAGTTGGGATACAATGACGTGTCAACCAGGTTAGCAATCCTGGCCTCGTCTACGTGTACAGAACATATGTTACAAAGTTTGTTAAAAAAACAAACATGAGTTCAATACATTTAGGACAGGGAAATTTTGAAGCTTTCAACAGCTGGCATTCAATTAAAACAGTCACTGTAACTGTATGTGCCACCATCTTGTGGGAGAAACAGAAGAATATTTTAGTTATTGACCTTCCCTACAACATTTGTTGCAACAATACACCACCACATCTGTTGTAACAACTTCCTATAACATGTCTTCAAAATGACTGACTGACTGACTGACTGACTGAGTTTGGTTTTACGCCGCTTTTAGCAATATTCCAGCAACATCACGGCGGGCTTCACACATTGTACCCATGTGGGCATTCGAACCCGGGTCTTTGGCGTGGCGAGCCAACGCTTTAACCATTAGGCTACCCCACCGCCCCTCTTCAAAATGAAGGTTAAACAACCTTCAACTACAACAACTGTAACAATATACCACAACCTGTTGTGACAACACATAGAATATGTTAAACAACCTTCAACTACAACAACTGTAACAATATACCACAACCTGTTGTGACAACACATAGAATATGTTAAACAACCTTCAACTACAACTGTAACAATATACCACAACCTGTTGTGACAACACATAGAATATGTTAACAACCTTCAACTACAACAACTGTAACAATATACCACAACCTGTTGTGACAACACATAGAATATGTTAACAACCTTCAACTACAACAACTGTAACAATATACCACAACCTGTTGTGACAACACATAGAATATGTTAAACAACCCTTTAACAACTGCAGTAACAACATCCTTCACACCCTACCTCTTGTTGTTCGCTTGACTTTCACATTCTTCGTAGATGCAGCCGTGTTTTCTATTGTAGTGTTTAGAGCAAGTGTAACAGTTCCAGTTGCCTCCCTTTGGCTGGAACTCTCCACCTGAGTGCTCTGTGAGTCTGACAGAGTGTCAACAACACTTATAGCTATATCAGAGCTCTGGGAGTCGGACACCACACTGGTGATGTCCACACTAGTAGCGACAGTGTCTTGGGAGTCCGGAACAGTGCTGGTCTGTGAAGATGAGAGGGGTCCTTGTGATTCAGTCACAGCACTGCTGGCGTCAACCGCAGTGTCCTCACCGCCCTCTGCTTCTTCAGATGTTGGCGCAGCATCAGCATTGGTGATGCTGGTCTTGTCTGCCAGCATGGAGTCAACAGAGGCCTTGAACCTCTCCACAGCCTTGACACTCTGCTTTTCTTTCACAACCTGCAGAGAAACATTGTCAACTGAATCAATCAATGCTATGTTTCAGGTGCCTTGTAATAGGTTCATGAAATTGACGTACAGTGTGTCACTGGTCACTGTCACTTACTCAGGCACCTGGCAACTGAAGGTGTGGGTACAAGTGAGTGAGTGAGTGAGTTTAGTTCATAGCTGCTTTCAGCAATATTCCAGCACACCAGAAATGGGTTCCACACATTGTGCCCATGTGGGAAATCGTACCCGGGTCTCTGGCGTGACGAGTGGACGCCTTATCCACTAGGCTACCCTACCACCCCAAATCAGGATAAAAGACCATAGAACCATGTACTAAGAATATGCCATGACCACTATTATGGATTGAGTGAGTGAGTGAGTGAGTGAGTGAGTGAGTTTAGTTTTACGCCGCTTTTAGCAATATTCCAGCAATATCACGGCGGGGACACCATAAATGGGCTTCACACATTGTACCCATGTGGGGAATCGAACCTGGGTATTCGGCGTGGCGTGCGAACGCTTTAACCACAAGGCTACCTCACCGCCGATGGATGGATGGATGGATGGATGGGTGTGTGTGTGTGTGTCTCTGTGTGTGTGTGTGAGTGAGTGAGTGAGTGAGTGAGTGTGTGTGTGTGTGTGTGTGTGAATGATCAGTTGGTCAAGGTTGGTTCAATACCGCTTTGAATAACAAATCAGTCAAGTAGTGGCTTATCTTGATGTTGGGAAAAGCACAAAGTAATGTCAATCTTCATTTATTTCCTAAAAAACCCAGAAATGCCTATTTCCTTGTTTTGCAAGGTACGACATGTGATTGAGGTACTGTTAAGTTCTGCATACCTCCAGCATCTGGTCACAGAGCACCTGCATGTCCTTCAGTTGTGTGTCGGGGCTCAGGTCCAGCTGGTTCAGGAGGCGTGTCCACAGCTTGACGCTGAAGGAGTCAGGGCTGGACAGGATCTCGTTACACACTAGCACAGCTATGTGGTCATGTCCTGGGTTGTCCTGCGACAAAACAGTGCAAGAAATATATCATCTCTTTCAACAACCGAAGTATTATCTGAGTGAGAGACAATGCTGAGCTTGGTTTGACATTGCCTTGGCAACAGTGGATTGCAAGAACCTGCTGCAGGCTGTTTTTCAAAATTTGCCACCCAAAACTTGACAAAATTGCAAGGGCATTTTTGGTTGAACAATCCAAACAGTTAGATGGCTATGTTTAAGGCCGCTTGTTTTGAACAGTATTTCTGTAATATAATTATCGCTATGAGTTAGTTTGATGTCTGAGGAAGGCTTTATCACCTTAGTGAAGCCTATGAGCATGGATACGAGAGAATTAACCCAGAATCATGACCAGGGTGAAGCAGGATGATTCAGCACCCCGTTTCACAAAGCTCTCTGGTAGCATTCGTACTTCCTGTACTGTAACATTGACATAGATAGTCGTAACACTACAAGAGCTTTGTGAAACGGGGCCCAGGACCTTAATCAAGTGTTTCTGGTGTTAAGGGAAGTAACTCTGTAAGGGTTGTGATTGGCTCAAAGACGGGATTTTAACCCAACACTAGATACACATCTTGGCAAGTGAGTGCTTGAGTTTAGTTTTACGCCGCTTTAGCAATATTCCAGCAATATCATGATGGGGACACCCAAGAAATAACCCAGACTGACTGACTGACTGAGTATGGTTTTAATCAGCTTTTAGCAATATTCAAGCAACATCTGTAAGGGGGACACCAGAAATGGGCTTCACACATTGTACCCATGTGGGATTCCACTGATCACATCTGTTCTAATCACATAAGTGGAGCTCTGTGGACAGGGGAGCATTACATATCTTCCTTCCTCAATCTCTCCAAAATCAGATCAGACATGTTACAGCTTATTCAGCTTGACCTGATCAAGTGAATACTAATGCATTAGCGTTGACTGTATCACAACTGGTTGAGTATATTATTGTGAAGGGGCACACCTTTGTCAGTTGATTGTCAACATGTCCCAACAGCCGAGACAGATCGCTGTTTGAAATCTCAGTGTTGAGAAATTGCCAGCAATGTCCTAACAATGTCTTAACTTTAAAAATGAAGCTACTGATGGTTTAATATATCCGATTCAGGCAGTGAGCAGCAGCAGCAACTGGTGTTTCCAGTACAACCCTAGGCCTAATAGAACAAGAACAACATTCACTGCTCCCTGTTTAATGAAGTTAACTCAACCTGCCGTTTGTGCCATTTGACCTCCCAGGTCATGCATATATGTAAGAGTAGCTCAGGTCAAGCTGAACTACCTGTACTTATTTGCATCAAGAGGACAGTTCCTTCAAGTAGGTGAACTTTCTATTCAATATCACGGCTTTAAACTTTACTATTAGAGTGAGCCAAACATTGAATCAAGCATCTTGAAATTAACATAGTCATGTATTTTGAACATATATAACATAAATCTGAACATCCTTGCATCTATACTCAAAATGATGACATGCCTAGGGTATTTTTATGTTCTGTGGTATGGTGTTTTTAGAGCTAAAAAGGAAATTGATGAATCAAGCAGTTAAAAGTGAATCCAAATAGTGAGAAAGCTGACATCTGATTGGTTGAAAAACCCCAAATCCTCTATTTAGATCTGGCAGTCAGAGCTCCCTCAAGTTAACATGATGCTACCTACTGAGGAGTTGTCTCCAGATCCTGAATCAGAGAAGTATTGTATGATGAGTAAAACATTTGATTTTAATTCTTATATACAAACACATTTCAAACACTGTCTGACTAATTTTCAAAAGTTAGTACCAGTATATGACAAGTTAGGGATATCAGTTGTATTCTGCAGTCTCAACCATAGTCAAAAACCTTCTTCTTCATTAACAACACTTCAATCCTTGGGCTACTCTGCCATAACATGAGACTTACAGCGATCAGACTGAATTCTGGTTAATCCCCACAGGAATGGTGTTCTCTCAACAATTTTGGACTTACAGTGACCAGACTCTGTGAGTTCTGGTTGACCACCAGGAGTTTGGAGTTGACAAGCTGGACCAGGAAGTCTCCCACGTTGCCTACGTTGACCTCGTTGAGGGGGCTGGATGTTGGGGCATTCAGCAGGGTGTTCAGTGTAGGCATGAACGCCTCCTCAAACAACTCCTGGTTAGCCCTGGTGTGAGGGGAAAGAATAATAGAAGATGATTGATGTAAGTGATGTTGGATTAATCTTATTTGCCATCAGAAGTATCCATGACATCAATAACTGACCAATCATATCAGTTTAATGTTAAGATTTTGTGGAAAACACACTAGTAATAAAGTTAACATGCATGAAAACACTAAAGCTTTTACTAGTGTCAAGATGGGTGTGCTTTGGAGAATATAGGAAAATATCCTGTATAATTTTAAAATTCAACCAGGGTATTGCTTTTATTGAAGGATATTTAGGCAACAAGCTCTGAATCTGCAAATTATGGATTACAATCCTAACAAATTCCAAACACTGTTGCTGCTTTATAGCGGCTTCAATAGTGTTGGTTTTCCAATGTTGATGAACATGTGTTTTCACCTAATGAAGGAGCAAGAATTAGCTCTGAAATGTCGTATATTAATAGAATAAAAAGAAGTTGTTATCCATGAAAAGTGTCATGTATTCATGTTTGCTCAACTTCTAAATGCCTTTCAAGAACTTCATGTTCATTCAGATCCATAAGAGTGACAAATACTGAGTAACATTAAAAAATAGCACAAACACCTAACATTTATTGACAATGTAAACTACACATGCATCATCCACTGACCTGCAAGCGAAGGCAAACACTGGCAAGAAGGCTCCGAGACAGTGCCTGAGGTGGTTGTCATCTTCTGTCAGTGGGTTATACCACAACAATAGGAGGTGAGACAGGAGTTTGGAAGATACCACTCTGCCAGACAGCAGCAACTTGGCCATACCCTCAGCAGCAACGGTCCTCAACTCTGAACTCTGTGACCACAAGGTTCAAGTGTCTTGTTAATAATTTCTCTGGTTTCAACACATGGAATAAAGGGTAGAGGTGGAGATGGGTTTAAAATGGGGACCTATTTGGCCATGAAATATTACGAAAGAACAGTGAGTTTGGTTGTCTTTTGATGTCATGGTTAAAAGACCTGCATTTTGCTGAAAATACTGTCATTGAACAGATTGGTAGCAAAAGGAAATGTTTGAATAAGGTGTTGAGGATCAACTGACCAGGTGAAACAGCTATTATGAAAAATATTCAAGCTGAAAACTATGAAACTCTTATGAAGTTGGGGACCACCTAATTCTTTCATATTACTATACATACTCTGACATTGAATGATAGATTAACTGGTACTATGAATGACTCGGGTGGGCCCTGTGTGTCGTCCATGGTAACAAGTATCTCTACTCTAGTTGTTCAGGACGCCTCCGTGGTGTTGTGGATAGAGCGTCCGCCCGGAGAGCGGAAGGTCGCGGGTTCGATCCCCGACCGCGTCATACCAAAAGACGTTTAAATATGGTACTTGTTGGTCCCTGTCTGGCACTAGGCATTAATGGGTACAACAAGGACTGGTCGGCTCGGAGTCAATATAATGTGTCTGAGTGGGGTATTCATTCTTCACTGCGGCATGGTATCTCAGTGGGCTAGCACTATAAAACCAGCTTCAGTCTGGGCTAGTACAAGCATCCGCGCATACATATACACACGCATGCACGTCGTCATATAAGCGAAATATTCTCAAGCACGACATAAAACCCAATTTCACCTCACCTCTAGTTGTTACCTCTGAGGGGGCGGTGGGGTAGCCTAATGGTTAAAGTGTCTGCTTGTCATGCTGCAGACTTGGGTTTGATTCACCACATGGGTACAATGTGTGAAGCTCATTTCTGGTTTCTCCCGCCGTGATATTGCTGGAATATTGCTAAAAGCGGCGTAAAACCATACTCACTCACCCATTACCTCTGAATCAAGGAAGGCACTGAGAATGGCCACCAGCTTGGTAGCAATGTCTGCAGAAGCATCAGATTTCTTTGAGCTGGTGGTAACGGCATCGGCCAGAGTGTCATCTGGGGAATCTGCAGTAACCTCTGCTGTGTCGGAACTGGAGCTGGTGTTGCTCCCCTCAGCTGCTGTCGAAGCTTCCTGTCGTGTGATGCCCAGTCCGAACATGTGGACCAGGTCAAACAAGCATTGGAGAGCCGTGGTCTTCACCGTCTCCGTGTCATGTTGGGACACCTGATGGTAGCGTTTTAATATCATCAAGTTATGATCATTCACCATGTAATTACTAGTGTTATGATGTGCATGGTATACACACACGATCAGTTTACTACTATTAATCTTCAAAATTTGATTCAATGTCTGTTTGATCAATAAATCATTGGCCAAAGTTCCCAACAGGTTCCATTAGTGGTTTTCCAATGCGAAACTGCTTCTGTAGACAAACATGGCTGAATACCAAGCGGTGCTCAGACAATGTATACATCTCATGTGTCTAAAGTTACTTTGTTCAGGGTAAAGACGTCATAAGCATTATTATTTTAAGGAATGTCGAAAATGAGGGAGAGATTAAAGAATTAAAGCCCTTTCAAGGTCAGGCTGACACATTCAAGGGCCTAAAAAAATATTTGATGACTGATCATCAGCTGACCTCTATGAGCAGCGGCAGGTACTGCATAACCACCTCTTCCTTGAGTAGACAGCTGAGTCCCAGAGCCTTGATGGCAGCATTACGTACGTCAGATTCAGCATTCTGTACCCCAGGCAGCACCTGCAAACGTGTGATCCATACAGACATGAACATGGCAGATGGGCGACATAGAGTCCAGCTGAACAAAATGGACACTCAGAAAATACAAGTGTACTTTGCTGTTGCATTCCTCTGAATGAGAACTGACATATTGCAGTTGCTACCTTCGGAAACAAGTCTCCAGTATCATGTACATGTATCAGGGACTTCACCATCTTAACCTGCCTCTCGAGCAACATGTGCAGGTGCCAGTGTCTTCACAGTGTATTACCTGGCTCTCCAGCAACATGTGCAGGTGTCAGTGTCTTCACAGTGTATTACCTGGCTCTCCAGCAACATGTGCAGGTGCCAGTGTCTTCACAGTGTATTACCTGGCTCTCCAGCAACATGTGCAGGTGTCAGTGTCTTCACAGTGTATTACCTGGCTCTCCAGCAACATGTGCAGGTGCCAGTGTCTTCAGTGTATTACCTGGCTCTCCAGCAACATGTGCAGGTGTCAGTGTCTTCACAGTGTATTACCTGGCTCTCCAGCAACATGTGCAGGTGCCAGTGTCTTCAGTGTATTACCTGGCTCTCCAGCAACATGTGCAGGTGCCAGTGTCTTCACTGTGTATTACCTGGCTCTCCAGCAACATGTGCAGGTGTCAGTGTCTTCACAGTGTATTACCTGGCTCTCCAGCAACATGTGCAGGTGTCAGTGTCTTCACAGTGTATTACCTGGCTCTCCAGCAACATGTGCAGGTGTCAGTGTCTTCAGTGTATTACCTGGCTCTCCAGCAACATGTGCAGGTGTCAGTGTCTTCAGTGTATTACCTGGCTCTCCAGCAACATGTGCAGGTGCCAGTGTCTTCACTGTGTATTACCTGGCTCTCCCAGCAACATGTGCAGGTGTCAGTGTCTTCAGTGTATTACCTGGCTCTCCAGCAACATGTGCAGGTGCCAGTGTCTTCACTGTGTATTGCCTGGCTCTCCAGCAACATGTGCAGGTGTCAGTGTCTTCACAGTGTATTACCTGGCTCTCCAGCAGCATGTGCAGGTGCCAGTGTCTTCAGTGTATTACCTGGCTCTCCAGCAACATGTGCAGGTGTCAGTGTCTTCACTGTGTGTATTACCTGGCTCTCCAGCAACATGTGCAGGTGCCAGTGTCTTCAGTGTATTACCTGGCTCTCAAGCAACATGTGCAGGTGCCAGTGTCTTCACTGTGTATTACCTGGCTCTCCAGCAGCATGTGCAGGTGTCAGTGTCTTCACTGTTTATTACCTGGCTCTCCAGCAACATGTGCAGGTGTTAGTGTCTTCACAGTGTATTACACCGGCTCTCCAGCAACATGTGCAGGTGTCAGTGTCTTCACTGTTTATTACCTGGCTCTCCAGCAACATGTGTAGGTGTCAGTGTCTTCACAGTGTATTACCTGCCTCTCAAGCAACATGTGCAGGTGCCAGTGTCTTCCTGTGTATTACCTGCCTCTCAAGCAACATGTGCGGAGTGTCAGTGTCTTCACAGTGTATTACCTGCCTCTCAAGCAACATGTGCGGGTGTCAGTGTCTTCAGTGTATTACCTGGCTCTCAAGCAACATGTGCAGGTGTCAGTGTCTTCACTGTGTATTACCTGGCTCTCCAGCAGCATGTGCAGAGTAGAGCGTTGAGTGTCTTCACCCGGGCAGCTGAGTCAGCAGTTCACTGATAACAGTCAGGCACTTCAGGATGGTGAAGGGATCACTCTGCAAGATATCAGGAAATTGCTTGATTAGCATGGTTAAATTTAATAATTCATAGCCCTAAATCCATCCCTCCGAGGCATCTATACCTCCTGTGTCAACTGACATTTAAGTCAAACCCCAAACCACAGTACTGTTCCAACATATATACTTGAATAACCTTCAGCCCACCTTCTCTGTGCATTATCTCCTGTGATTGGGGCTCTCCTGTTCAGGAGTAAGGATGCTCAGCATCCAGCTCAGCTACAGAACTCTTCAGCTCCGCTGGCAGGCAAAACTCCTGACATCTCACACATTCCTCCAGCTCTTCCTTAGCTTGGTTCAGTCGCACCCGGATACTGGCGATCTGCAAGTCAAGGAACAAGGTTCAGTTTTAATAGCAGAAGCAACAGGATCTTTGTATTTAGCATGTTCAGTCAAAAAGTACATGGATAAAATCAGCTTGGGTATATTTCTATCATTCAATTTTACTCAAGTACTTAACATCACAAGGCACATCTGAATTCTTACCATTGAGGATACTGAACCTTACAAATATGCACAAACAAGAAGCCTGTAGTCATGACTGTTGTATGATCAGAATTACTTACATTAACAATACCATCAGATCCAACCCTACTGAGAATCATTTTCTCACAATTTCCCTGAGAATTCATAATGGGCCTGACAACATCTACAATACCATCAGATCCAACCCTACTGAGAATCATTATCTGACAATTTCCCTGAGAATTCATCATGGGCCTGACAACATCTACAATACCATCAGATCCAACCCTACTGAGAATCATTATCTGACAATTTCCCTGAGAATTCATCATGGGCCTGACAACATCTACAATACCTTCAGGTCCAACTGCCGCCTCTCATCTTTGTCCAGTGTTTTCTCCACGATGGTGATTGGCTCCCGTATTTCGGAGATGGTCTCGGCCAGGTAGGCCACCAGCGTGTCTGTGTTTGTCTTCACCAGGTGAAGTGTGGAAATGATGTACTTCATCAAGGCGTGACTCACGTGGTCGCAGATCATCATGTCGTGGAGCAGCTTCTCCAGTTCACGCCTGTAACAGAGTCAGTGTAACTTGTGTAGAGACAGTATCATGTTACATGTTCGCTTGTTGACTTATACAACCTTTGACCTGTGAACATCCGGGTTAGAACTGGTCTTCAGTAACCCATGCTTGTTGTAAGAGGCGACTTACAAGATCAGGGTGGTCAAGCTTGCAGACTTAGTTGACTCATGTCACCGTATCCCATTTGCGTAGTACGATGCTCATGCTGTTGATCACTGGATTGTCTGGTCCAGACTCGATTATTTACAGACCACTACCATATAGCTGGAATATTGCTGAGTGTGGTGTTAAACAACAATCAATGCAACCTTAAGCATATTTCCATGCAATGGTGGTTTCTATTCATAGTAAATAATCTAACATGAATTACAAAACCAGTGGTTGATATTATGAACAGAGACCCATCTATCGCAGTACAATGCCATCGATCAAGTCACTGACCTAACCATGTAATGCAATTTAGTCGCCACTTTTAACAAGCAATTCAATGGTGGGTAACCATTCTAAGGGTCCAAAAATGCTTTCGTAGCGGACAATTTAGTTTGAAGTGAGAGGAGCTCAGTGTAAATCTAAGTTCAACAACTGTGAACAGAACAGGTACAGTTATCCCTTGCTGTTAAGTGGGTTTGTGGTCTATAGATATAGGCCAGGTAATATCGCACCCAGACACAGTATATTGACTCCAGTTTGACAAATCATTGTTTCATTCCTTTAATCGTTGTAACACTGCCCTGCTGGGAATGTGAAACACCAACATTTCACTCTCTGGGCAAATGCTCTCTCCACTGGACCATGGAGGCAGTCTAATCAGATTGTACTGGCAGGCCGGACACTTCCTGACTGGTCTGATCTGATCTGATCTGATGTGATAGGTCCCTGTGAATACAGTCATAGCGACCATCCTGATCTGATGGGTCCGTGTAGTGAAGAGACTTAGCAACCAGCCTGATCTGATGGGTCGAGAGTACTTGAAGAGAGACTTACCGACCAGCCTGATCTGATGGGTCGAGTAATTGAAGAGAGACTTACCAACCAGCCTGATCTGATGGGCCCGAGTAATTGAAGAGAGACTTCGACCAGCCTGATCTGATGGGTCGAGTAATTGAAGAGAGACTTACCGACCAGCCTGATCTGATGGGTCGAGTAGTGGTTGAAGAGAGACTTACCGACCAGCCTGATCTGATGGGTCGAGTAATTGAAGAGAGGCGTGCCGACCAGCCTGATCTGATGGGTCGAGTAGTGAAGAGAGACTTACCGACCAGCCCGATCTGATGGGTCGAGTACTTTCGAAGAAGAGACTTACCCGACCAGCCCGATCTGATGGGTCGAGTACTTGAAGAGAGACTTACCGACCAGCCTGATCTGATGGGTCGAGTAGCGAAGAGACTTACCGACCAGCCTGATCTGATGGGTCGAGTAATTGATTGAAGAGACTTACCGACCAGCCTGATCTGATGGGTCAGTACTTTCGAAGAGACTTACCGACCAGCCTGATCTGATGGGTCCGAGTAGTTGAAGAGAGAGACTTACCGACCAGCCTGATCTGACAGGTCCATGTACTTGAAGAGAGAGGATCTGCTGTCCTATGTATTGAGCTCCAGCTGTCTGTCAAAGTCATCACCAAGACCTGTCAGCTTCTCCAGAAACCTGCTGAGACATGCAGAAACATTAGGGAGTGAGTGAATGAGTGAGTTTAACAGAGGTTCCAGTCATATCAGCGAGTGAAAGCTAAATATTGGAGTAAAACCTGAAAGAGGTATCATTTACCACTTCTGTAAAACCATCTTACACAGGTGTGATGCTGAAACCCTGAAACATAACCATGGCTAACCTGGATCTGGACCTGTATTTATTGGATCTTGATGGTCCCAAAGGGACGTAACTCTGCAGTGAACTTTGGTACCCTACAAGGCTGGGTCACCTGTGCAGTGACATCACTGAGATTAGGTGAGATGCTAAGCAATGAATGACATTCAGAGTTCTCAGGTCTTCTACATTCCATAACTACAGCTCTAGAAAAAATACCCAGGCCCAGCTATAGGCAGCGATTTAGCAATGATTCTCAAAATAAGTGCCATTGACAAAAACAAACTGGAAAAATGTGACATTAATCAAAGCGAGAATGCTTTCTTGCAGACATGGGGCTAAATATCTGAATTTGAGCTAATGACTTGAGGCAAATTACGTTAGCCAAGGCAAGAGGAGATGTTTATGAGCAGACACAAAAACAGATGATTTCATACCCTATCATGATCAGACTTACTTTTCTGACATATTTGCACAGTACAATACTAGGATGGCAGGACTTTATCCAGCTGTTCCTCGTTATGTGGCGCCTTCTCCTGCCGCGAACTGACACAACACCCGTACATGGCACTCTACCGTCAGCTTGTCATCAGAGATCAGGGTCCTTCAACACATTGCAGCAACATCATAGGGGAGATGTACATGTTGTGGGTAATTGCTGGTATTGACGGCTGTACCATCTGACAGGTTGAACTAATGCACGCCCTGGCAACATGTAATACGTAACTGCGGG